ATGATACAATATACACACACTTCTCTGATATACAGTCTTCGTCGATCGTACGCGGCATGTTGCAAAGGAAACAAAAAAACATATCCCATTCAACGGCAACGGTAGACCTCTAAGAAAACGACTCGTTCTTGTTTTGATACAAAATGTAAACACACAGCGTGTAACCTGAGAGCAATCATCACCTGTTGCTATAGCCATCAGTTTTCCAATAATTAAAGATATATATATATATATATATATATATATATATATATATATATATATATATATACTAAGTGACATATAAATCCGAACACCCAGTTTAAATGGGTTTATTTTAATAAAAGTTGGTGAATGTATATATCTTACTGTAAATAACAAGTGAACAAATTTTCAGCCTTTATACTGCTTTTTTTTAATTCACTAACACTCTAAAAATGATTATTTCAGCCGCAGTAAAGAATCAACGTTGGCGGATTTTGGTTCTTGACATCCTTTAGGATCGGTTACGATGCCTAGAGTACGGAGACCTGTACGATTTCGTCAACTTAGTGAGTTTGATAGGGGCCGTATAGTGGGACTTCGGGAAGCTGGACTTTCTTTTCGGGCAAATGCAGTTAGAGTGCAAAGAAGTGTAGACACTGTGGTTAGGTGTTGTCAGGCATGGCTTCGAGAAGGCCGTACGCAAAGAGCAAGGGGCACTGGACGCCGCCGTAGAACAACAGACCGTGAAGATCGCCGCCTAAGATTATTGGCCTTAAGGGACCGTTTCTCCACTACCAGGTCCATGGCAAATGAATGGTTTGCAGAACACGGAAGACCTATTGGCATGCGAAGTGTTTACCGACGAATGAGAAGTTTTGGCTTGTTTTCATACCGGCCACACTGGGTCTTCCCTTTAACTCGAGAACACCGACGTAATCGCCTTGAGTGGTGCAGACAACGGTCACTCTGGGATCAGGAATGGAACAGTATTGTCTTTAGTGACGAGTCTCGATTTTGTTTAGGCATGCACGATGGTCGTGCCAGGGTTAGAAGGCGACGTGGTGAAAGGAGGAATCCACAGTTTTTTGTTGAAAGACATGTTCATCACACTGTTGGAGTTATGGTTTGGGGTGCTATAGCTTATGGTTCCAGGTCACCTTTAATCGTCATCAGAGGTAACATGAACGCGCAGCGTTATATCCACGAAGTTCTAGAACCCCATCTTTTACCCTATCTTGACACCCTGGCAGATCCAAATTTCCAACAAGATAATGCCCGACCACATGTTGCAAGAGTCACAATAGACTTCTTTCAACATAATGATGTCACATTGTTACCATGGCCACCAAGATCTCCCGACTTATCCCCAATTGAGTACGTGTGGGATATGATGGGTAGGAGATTGCTCAATTTGCAACGTCCTCCTCAGACTCTAGAAGCACTTCGAGAGGAGTTGGTGGTTGCCTGGAATGAGATACCACAGGATGACATTGACCATCTGATCAGAAGCATGCCTAGGCGCGTTGGAGAATGCGTAGCACATCAGGGTGCATCCACACATTATTAAAGGTCACAGGGCTTTAAAGCAGTGCAATCATTTTGAAATTTTTATCATTTACTTATTATGCTTCATTAAGTACTTATACAAAATTTTATTAAAATAAAACCATTTAAACTGGGTGTTCGGATTTATATGTCACTGTAAGAGATACAAAGTCGCTTAAATGAGGGCAAAGTTGCGTATTAAGGTAATCAGCAAAATGCTGCTTAAAAAGTTTCAAAATTCAAAGTACTTCCGAATAGAGGTGGAAAAATCGAATTTTCCCAAAATCGTTTTAACTTTATTTGTAGAGGGATTTCAAAATAACTTGCACATTAACATTTGCTACTTTTTCTCCTCTACCAGATGGCATAATTAGAATTTCCAGCATCAACTATATTTTTTCTTGTGGACGCCATATTGGATTTTTGCGCTGATCAATAGAGTTTTTAATTCTGATTTCAAAAATGTATCATATGTCATACATTGACATTGCCAAATCTTAGTAATTTCAGAAAAACAGAATTTCCTAGGAAGGCCTTATATAAAATTATCAGATTTCATTTGTTTCGTTTTAGTTACAAAAACGATAACAAAAGTACTTATAGTGAAGAGCTTCGATATTTGGCATATTTTTTAATTGGAAATTAATCTTAATTTACTTCATTATTCTTTAAGCAACCTTTCCATATAACGCATCACTATTACATGGAACTTTCCTTGTTAACTTCGAGCAATTAAGTTATTCTATTTGAAACCATTTAGTGACCTCCTGCGACTTAGAGGTGCTCAATCTTGTCCAGCTTATCGATTTTTCAATTGAGTGACGTGGCTTTTGCGTCAAGAGACCCAGAGTACCCCCGCCAGACAACCCAGTCCTCAGTCCGCCGATCGCCTATACAACCGCACGCTCATCCAGTTAACCGATCAGTTTCAGTCGACCCGCCAAGCCGAGCACTTCGCTCTCGCCGACAGCGCCACTAAAGATGGCTACCGCAGATGTAGCCGAAAGCTATGGACCAAATCCAACCCGACCACGGCTCAACAGTCCGAAAAACCTAAATTACATTAGAATTAGCCATGAAAACCTTCATTCTTCAAAATGATATAACATACTATAGAGATTTATTTTCAAATTGTTGAGGTATTGGACTTTATTGCATAATGTTGGATGGATTTAATTTATAATGAAAATACAACAATTGTTCTGATCTGACGTTACCAGCTAAATACTCTTTTATTTTGAAATGCACTGTAATGTTTTTCATTTATCTTGGTACCTGATTTACAAAAAGGTTATATTTAACTCAAAACACGGTTGCACAAACCTCCTCTTTATATCAAATAAAGCTTGTGAAAAGAGAAATCAATCATTTTGCGTTCTTGACACCGTGTATAAACTATCAAAGCTGAACTGAAATAGTGGGCAGGTAGGGAGAAAATATGAGATCATAGAATTTTTCTGCCGAAAAATTTAGCAATCTAGTTATAACAGCGGAGGAGATGCGGGCTGTCGAAAAATTGTCCATTATCTCAACATTTTGAAGCCATACGGTCTCTCCATTAAAAAAATGTATGTTAGGGTCACCATTAATCACCCTGAAGAGATAAACATTTTTTCCAAGAAATGAGCATACTGTTGGCTAAAATTGTTGTAATTAATTTTTCAGATACCTCGTGTAATAACGGAGTTATCGATCGAGCCCCTAATAAAAACTCGCCCTATATAATGCTTTACACGTCCAATATAGTACCGCAGCAGGGGATTAAACATTAAACGTAATTAATTTTGAATAGTATACTATTTTAATACTGATACCGAAATAAAGGGTGGGCCTTGATATAATTCAAATTTTCATATGTAAAACCCGCACTCAATGCCTTTTCAAAATATAAATTGATAGATTGACGAAATGACATGGACGCTTGAGGTATAGATAGTACGAGGGTGAATCAAATATGAACCGGGCTTTTCTGTTTAAGGCGTAATATGTGAATGGAGTGGGCCGACGTCTTCGTATATGTTGGGTGGGGATGTCAGGAAGAGGGGAGTCGGCGAAGTAGATGAGGTGTTAGTGGTATCATGTCTTAGCAAGAGTTGCACACGTCTTTTTAGCAACGCATTATCATAAAATTTTTGTCGCGGGATATTAATCCTACCGAAATGTTGCGCCGATGAACAGCAAAGTTCAGCGGTAAGACAGGACACAAGTACACGTATACGACTGGCAAAAAAATGTTCCATGGAGTGGCGAAAGCCTGAAGAGGCAGCACCGCGAAAAGCCAAGATCAGTCTTTCTACAGGAAAAGTTCTTGCAACGGTATTTGGGGATTCCAGGTGTACTGCCAGTTGATTTTTTCACGATCTCCGTACAGCTCCATGTCAACGCTCGGCCTCACACAGCTGCATTGACCCAAAAAAATTACGCGAAATTCATTGGGAAACACTTACACCCTCCTTATAGTCCCGATTTGTCGCCATGTGACTATCAGAAGTTTGGGCCACTTAAAGAAGACCTGGGAGGTCACCACTTTGACGACGATGAAGGTGTGGAAAAGTTTGTGCACAATTGGTACTGACACTACCAGCTTCATTCTTTGATGGGAGAATTAAAAACTTCCGATCCGATGGGAAAAATTTATCAATAAGAGAGATTATGTAGAAAAATAAGACTTCTATTTTCTATATCAATAAAATTACTAAAAGTCCGGTTCATATTTGATTCACCCTCGTTATTTCTTATCACTTACCATTTTATGCTTTCGCGGAGTTCCACACGTCGTGAGTTTACGTTACAGCTCGTGATATATATCTGACGTGACTATGAGTTCCAGCCTTAATTTCCGTATTTAATTTGAGCTTGTTTTGCTATTTCAGTAACAATACGCACTACTGAGTTTAGAAAGCAGTGCCCACTCACAGTTTCCATTAAACGATAATAGAAGGGTTTCGGAACTGCCACCTAATCAATTCCAAAGATCTTGTGTCGTCATCTATACGTTTTTCTTGCTACTGGTCATAGTAATAGCAGTTTTACGGTAAGAGGAAATAAGCCATTTCTTGGAGTTTTTCTCAATAATTGCAGTTTGGAAGCGAATTCGAAAGAATGCTGAAAAAATAGCTCCTTCGCCCATAGTATAAGCTGCGTTTGCTGCTAGTTTCAGCTTAATAATTTAGAGCCCTCTTTCCAAGGTGTTACAGTTTAAGTTTTGGCTTGAGGTCAAGTCGTGTAATTTGGTAATTTTTGCTGGAAAATCTAGGTGTTATAAATTTATTATGTAATAAGTCTGGTCGATTCTGGTAATAGATGGCACTTTGTGCTGTCTTATCTTGATAGACCGTATATATTGGACAGATGATAAGTTGCTCAGATTTCATTAGCTGTCCTATCTGAGACCAAGCCTAGACCATGCTGATAAGTTGCCAAATGGTTGGCCGAATGATGTCGGACGAACGAAAGCTATATTACTAGCTCTCTACACTCAAAGCACAAAATAAATGAAAATCCGCATTTATACTTAAAACTATATTAACTAAAAACATTGAACTTCATCCAAATATAAGATATCTACACACCTTAGATTTATACAAAACAGAGAGCAAATAAAAAATTAAACGCAATTATTCGGAAACTACTTTCAAGATTAAACTAGAGGGTAGCTGGCTTGTGTAGCGACTCCGCACATGTTGTTCCGATTCCTGGCAATCTTGATGTAACCTTCATCACCCCAGTTGGGCCCCCAAGAGTTCTTGATCAACCAGTAATCCTGGCCATTCTCATCAGTACCATATCCTACAGCTAACACACCATGATCCAACTCTGTGCTGCTGCATTCTGGATCAGAATAAACTCCTAAAAACAGAATTCAAGTTGATTAATGAAATTAACTTCATGTCGTCTAATGTGTGAGAAGTTTTGAAGTATACAAGGACTGACTTCACTGTTGTAGGAGAAAAGGGACCAACTGACAGTAAAAATCCATTGTCAAAGAAAAATACTAAAGGCACAAAAACGCCTGTAAGAAGGGTTTTGACAACATTGTCACATTGGAGAGCTTACAAGTTTTTTACGAGTTTGTTGGAAAGATCAAGCTATTTTAATATGGAGGTTGACCCAGGAGGGTCCAAATAGGAAGCAGTACCACTTATAATGGGTAAGGAGCTGAGCGGCGGCGAATCCCGTTCAAAAACTGAAAGCATGGGCCCACTGACGCAGATGTCATCGGAGCAAAAAACCAACGAGAAACTGATGATGATTATAGACGACAAGGCGAGGCAAATCCGAGAACTCATGGAGACAATCAAGGACCAGACGGCTAAAATTGACAGCCTGACAGCCCAGGTAACTCATTTAGTAAGTTCGAAAGAATCTACGGAACATTAATATACATCCACAGACGATGACACACTGACCGACGGATTTATGAACGCAAAATCTAGAAGGAGGAGAAGCAGCAAGCCGAGGACTTTCCACCTCTTTCAAGTACAGAATCCACTCTTTTACGCACCTCCCCCACTTCATCAAAACAAAATATCAGTAACACTATGTCTACTACCAAACTTCAGCCATCTCGCTCAGCCGACGTGACATCAAGCCAACCTTCACGCCAAAGGCGCGTAACGCCTATTGTTCTGCGTGATGGGGCAAGTTGGCGTACGTTAAACTACAAATTCATTTCTCTAGGCATTAAAATAGATCGCGCGGTTGCTGTCGTTGCGGGAATAAGGATTATTCCTAAATCTGAGGAAGACTATCGTAAGATCGTTCGACTGTTCCGAAAGGAAGAGGTTCAAGTGCCCCATCACACTTTTCCTCTCCCTTCGGAACGGAATATCCACGCGGTGGTTCGAGGAGTTCCCGTCAACTTTTCGGATTCTGAGATTAAGGAAGAACTTAAACAGAGGGGATATAGCCCTCTTCATATTATTCGAATGAGGCGCAGTGGTGGCGCGCCCATGCCTTTGGTGGTCGTGATACTGGCCAAGAGTAAAAAGTCCCAGCAAGTATTCAATGAACACGAACTGCTGGGACTGGCCATTCGAGTTGAGGTTCAGAAGAACTCCAGACTCACTGGGCAGTGCGACCGCTGCCAAAAGTACGGGCATGCGCAGTCATACTGCACTGCACCACCCAAATGCCTAAAATGTGCAAAGGACCACATGCCGCATTTGTGCCCCCTCAGGAAGAGCGCCGGTGTGCAAACTGTGGAGAAGGCCATCTCGCAAACAGCCCGACTTACAAGTTCACTCCAAGGAGGTATTTGCAAGTTATAGCGCAATGGCGCAACCTGTCATACGCGGATGCAGCTAGGGAAGCAACCTTGTCTGCCCCCTCTGCCCAACCTCCCTTGAACGCGCAAAATGTGGACCTGGTAACCGTGCAACAAATAATAAGTCCACTGATTACCGCTACTCAAGCTTTGCAGGCAAAAGTAGACAACCTGTATTTACCAAAATTCTTTTTTGGAATTGTTTGGGCCTAAGGGACATTCCCAAAAAACGGAAACTTCATCAAGCTCCTTTGGATGACGGTATAGATGTAGCCTTGCTGCAGGAAATGTTGATTCACCCGGGACATCGTCTAGCTCTCCCGAATTACGATGTTATCGGTGCTGACAAATTGAATGGTCGAGGTGAGGGTTTAGCAGTGCTGATTAAACGCGGTATTGATTATTATAGAGGCACGAATGCAGAGATGCATAGCATGGAAGCAGCTTCTGTGGTGGTCAATATGGCGGGAGGTGTCCCGTTGAAGATCACATCGGTGTATGTCAGGTGTGATGCCAGGCTACATGAACTACTCGGGTCCACTTATTGTGGCAGGAGACTTCAACTGCAAACATAGGGCATGGAATTCCAGGTTGAATTCCACGAGTGGGATTCGACTGTACAACCTTGTGATACCAAATGCGTACCTTGTACTTAGTACTGAAGAGCCGACACACCACCCATTCAATCATATTCAGGCACCAGATATCATTGACTTCGCGATATCTAAAAAGTGTAGATAAAGAATCTCTTCTCGAGTCTTGTATGATATCTATAGTGATCATGATCTGTTGTCTTGGAGGTGGGAAACGAGCAGACTTCTGAGGAGGAAGCTCCTTCAAGGAAACGCATTGATTGGAATCTATACAATCTAGACTGGAATAGATGCCGCTCAAGCGGAGTGGACAAGTTTCATTCAAACAGCTCCACAGCGTGCAGCTGTACTTCCTGTACAACGACACGGCAGACCTTTTTTGCCTGCGTACATTCGTCAGAAAATCTCTGACAAGAGAGCCGCTATTAGGCAGTCAAAAAGATCTTGCCATCCTGATGACATTAGTAGGGCTACGAATCTTGTCCATGAAGTGAGAAACGTGCTGCATGAATTCGGTAATGAGCAATGGAGTGACTTTCTGGCGGGAATGGTTGATTCATTCCATCACTGAGTTACTATGATAGACCCGTAACATGCTGGGATTGTGCGGATCCGTTACAGCAAGTTTAAGATTGCACCGCGTAAAACCGGCAAAGCCCAGGATCGCCTGGGGTAGGCATTCCTGTTCCAAAAGGCCGTCCAGCCTTCCAAGGATTGAGGTTATCTGCCGTTTTTTAATGTATCAGGCTCGTGACCCTCGTCCATTCGGCCAGACAAACATCGGGGATTATCAACATGAAAACCACAGGATAAGTTTCAGAAGTAACATTATCCGAATGAATGTCAAGACTATCGTACGATTAGTTTAACGAGTCATACCTTGAGGATTTTTCTATAAATAATAAGAAATAACCATTTCGTGGTGGTCTAGGCACTATTTGCTATAAACGTATTAGCTCAGCGATGTCATGATGTTCACAAGGATGTATATATAGGCAAAGCCTATAAGGATAAGCATGAAGAACTACTGAAGATTTTAAACACATTAAAACTTGACAAACAATGTAGTACCTGACAGGCAGCAACCGTGCGAGTGAAAACGATCTATAAGAGGAGATACAAATACAACGGGGACTTAGACAGGGTCCCGGCGTTCTGTCACCGCTACTGATTATACACTTAGATGATTTTTGAAGAGGCATTATCCGAGGTTCAAACGGGAATTAATATCAATGGCGTACTAGTTTAACAGTATCGGATATACAGATGATGACCGGCTTCTGGGCAAAACTGCTGGAGACCTACAGGCTCTATTTAATACACTATTGTACAGGGTGGTCCATAAGTCCTTTGAAATTTCAAATTTGAATAAAACTTAACGGGTGAGCGTGAGCGGCGCGGGCGAGGTGGGGGCAGTATCTTCAGTGTCTGGGAATTCAGTCGTCATGGAGTGTTTCACTGGAGCGGATCGTGCTTTTTGTGTGCGCGCGTTTTATCAAAATAATGATTCGGCAACCATTGCGCGGCGTAAATATCGAGAATACCACAATTTACACAATTTTACAAAGTGTCCAACAGCTCAAACGATTAAGAACTGGGTTGCTAAGTTCGAAGAGACTTTTTCGACGTTAGATAAACAGCGGTGGGGTCGACCAAGGACAACTCGTATTGAAGAAAACATCAACATTGTGGCACAGTCTGTTACTTCGGAGCGGTATGTAGCAATGATAGAAGAGTTTTTGACACCAGCGTTGCAGAATTTTCCAGGCTATAATACGCAGACCTGGTTTCAACAGGACGGAGTAACTGCCCACACCTCCAACACTTCTATGCCCGTCGTCTGTCAACTTTTTGCCAGCAAAGTAATTTCTCGAAGAGGAGACATTTCCTGGCCACCACGTAGTCCAGATTTGACCCCAATGGACTTCTTTTTATGGGGCTACCTCAAGAGTAAAGTGTACGACACCACTTCGCGATCAGTTGATGTCCTGAAAGAAAATTTCCGAAGAGAAATGGCAAGCATTACAGTGTTGACTTGCCGCGCAGTCATCGACAATTTTAGACGTCGTTTATATGAGTGCCGTGATCGTAATGGATTGCATTTAGATGATGTGATTTTTAAAACATAATTCCCATTCAATAAAGATGATAACAAAATATAATAATTCTTCATAATGTAACTAGTTTGGTTTTATTCCTTTTTTTCCAGCTCAAAGGACTTATGGGCCACCCTGTATATAACCAAACAAAAATATGGACTAGAGGTCAACATAAAAAATATTAAATACAGCAAAAAACAAATGCAAATACACAAACAACTGTAAATACAGAGCAACCTCTTTAATTGGAACACACTTTAATCGGAACTTCCAGTAACACTGATAAACACAGGATTTGTGACATGATAAGTTTTTGGTGCATCTTATGTATTTTGAGACCCTTATATCAAATCTAAAAACAGAATTTGTCTATCACCCACAGATATTCGGTAACATCTACTTTTATGAATTACAATACGTAACATCTCATATCGCTGCATTTCTCGGCGTTTATGCGATGACGCACATATATAATGTTAAGACCTGTCTATTCCTGTTTATTATATGCGAGCTCTATGTTTAGAGAGCATATTGCGATTATTAGTAGACTAACAGCAGCCGAGTCAGTTACGTTTTCTGTGTTGAAGAGTACTGAGATGTTCTGAGTACTGTTAATTTTTGTTAAAACGGTGTGTTGTTTTTAGTGTATTTTGTGATCGAGACTAGCTTTATGGACAATCCCTAGAAATTTTGTAAATAGTGCGAACAGTTTTAGTTATGTGTGCAGAGAGCTAACTTTTAACCAAAAACGTACTTTTACTCCCCTTGTGTTGAAAGCATGCGAACTTTATTTTGGAATTAAACTTTTGGAAAGTGAAGATAATCTATGGGCCTCTTATATATGTTGTAAGACTTGTATAACGTTGTCAACAGGTTGGTTAAGAGGCCCTTTGCGGGACCAATGGTTTGGAGAGAACCGAGAGACCATACTACTGATTGCTATTTTTGCCTTACAAATATTAAAGGTATTGGACCAAAATCGAAACATACTGTTAAGTATTTTAATTTACCATCAGCTTTGCGGCCTGTTAAGCATAGTGATGAACTTTCTGTCCCAGTTCCACCAGAATCTTGGTCTTTGGATGAAAAAGTCGAATCCACCGATTCTGAAAGTGATGGTACAGAAAGCGTAAAAAATTCCGATCCTTCGTTTGACCTGCCAGGATGTTCAACAGCGCGGCATTTGATCACGCAGGACGAACTTAATGACTTAGTTTGAGAACTAAATCTGTCAAAATACCAGTCAGAACTTTTAGCGTCAAGATTAAAAGGATGGAATCTTCTCCACGGTGATGTTAACATTACTTTTTGCCGAAAACGGCAACAAGACCTCACACACTGTTTCCGACAAGAAAGCGAGTTGGTATATTGCTCCGATGTCAACAATTTGTTTGACGCGTTAGGACAGAAACATGATCCAAATGATTGGCGCCTGTTCATTAATTCCTCTAAGCTTAGTTTAAAAGCGGTATTGGTACATAACGGCAATAAATATCCATCTGTACCTATAGCGCACGCAGTTCATATGAAGGAATCATATGAAAATATGCGAGTTCTGTTAGAGAATATCCGTTATAATGAATATGCCATATGTGCAGATTTGGAATGAATGCAACTGGGATATACCAAATATTGTTGTTTTCTTGTGAATGAAAGAAGGAGTGGCCACTACGTCAGATATTAACTACGGGCCTCAAAAACATTGCTCATGAACCACTAGCACTAGTTGATCCCAAAAACATGTTGCTTCCACCTTTGCATATTAAGTTGAGACTGATGAAAAATGTTGTGAGAGCTATGGATCGAAATTGCATATTAAGTTGGGACTGATTAAAAATGTTGTGATAGCTATGGATCGAAACTGCATATTAAGTTGGGACTGATGAAAAATGTTGTGAAAGCTATGGATCGAAATGGAAAAGGGTTTCTGCATTTAAAACAAACATTTCCGAGACTTAGTGAGGCAAAAATTAAAGAGTTCATATTTGTGGGTCCACAAATACGGAAAATCATGAAGGTTGATGTATTTGACAGTGCTCTAAATGAAACTGAATTACGAGCTTGGAATGCTTTTAAATCAGTTACTGCAAATTTTTTAGGCAATGTGAAAGCGGACAATTATAAAGACATTTTGGAATGGGATGTAACATGTCTCTCAAAATTCACTTTTTGGATTCTCATCTCGATTTTTTTCCGGAAAATTTAGGTGCGGTAAGTGATGAACATGGTGAACTGTTCCACCAAGACATTTCTGCTATAGAGAAACGGTGTCATGACACATGGAGTTTCAATTTGCTTGCTGATTATTGCTGGACATAGTTCAGAGATACTTCAGGAGCAACATATCGCCGTAAAATAACGACAACACTCTGAGATTAACGTTTATTCGAGTGTTTGTTAGTACTATTACACACATATCCGTATATTTTACGAGTATAAGCAGCAAATAAAATGCCTTATCGCAAGAAAACCGTGGGTGATAGAAAAAAACGAATGCTATTTCCGGATTTTTCCGTACGTTTTACGTAGTAACCACCTTGTTTTGACCATGTCACAAAAAAATATTTTAATTTTGTTCACCAGTGTAATCGGATCGCAGACAATCGAACGTCATAATCGGAACGAACTTCGCTAATCGGAACGTTGCGTTATCTGCAGCGAATAATTCTCGGAAACTTTGTTTTCGGTAAACAAGTGATAACCAGTGATGATGGGCAAACTACAATTATTTTCTTACCTAGAAATTGTACACCAATATTTAAAAATTCGCTTAAAAAGATTGTGGATTCAGAAACCGATATTCCCGAAACTTTAAGAAACATCAATTTAAAAGATGTTGTGTTCTCCTTGGCTGAAGCTTTTCAACATGTCAGTGTGGATTTAATAAAAAAACTCTTTGACCAAAATGTATTCAGCTAAGAGTGATGATGAGGATGAAATTCCCTTGGCTAGGCTAGCTAGATAAATTATAGCAGAGCAAGAACAAACTGCATTTAAAAATGAATTATACAAATCAGTAAGAATTTGGATAAATCTCGTACAAATAATGAAATTGAAGAGTGGGCTATTGGTCAAAACGAACTAGGCGATGTACTTCTGACAGATGACGAAATAATTCAAGAAATTGGCGATGATTCAGATAATGAAGAAATTGTAAATATAGAATCGGATTTGGTAAAACATTGACAAGCTGTATCTGCCTTGTCTAGAATGGGCATCTCAAAATAATGTGGCAGATTATCGAATAATTTTACTCAAACAACTTCGCACTGGCACTGGGTGAAAAATGGAAAACAAAAAAGTGTTTTGCTAACATTTCAACAAATGGGGAATAATATGTACATACCTACCTATTAAGAGATTGTTAATTACATGTATATTCGAGGAAATAGGTAGGTACTGTTCGTTGAAAAAAGTGTTATTGATAAAATAATTCATTTTTTCACTTTATGATTTCGCATTATGTGTAAAAGAAAGTAACATTCCAAAAAGTATGTGCTATTTTTATTCCTACCGCTAATCGGAACGACTGCTTGCAACAAGGTTTTCCTATTGCACTGTACAGATCAAAAAATATAGAGTTAAAAATGAAAACATACAAGCATCTAGATACAATCATAAAAGAATGGAGACAGGAATCAGATATAAAAAGTAGAATAGACAAGCTTCCATACAAATGAAGCATCTATTGTGCTGTAGGGATTTTAACATTCCACTAAGAAAAAGAATTTTGAAGTGCTACATATATTCAATTGTGTGTCGTACAGATTAACATTACCACATAAAATGTGTAAATGTATGTGGACATACATAAATACGTTTCACATCTCATGGACAGATAGTCACAAACGTGGAAATATTGCATAGAATTAACCTTTAAGCTATATGTAACAACACTGCAAACCGACTAGTGCGTCGGTGAAAAGAACCCCATCTCGAACCTGATTAGCGTTAAGCCGGTCCCAGACACTACGTTCTTCGGCGAAGCACATATTTCAAGTTCGCGTTGACTTCCGATACCATTTCGTATTTCAGGATACAAAAAATGTTCTGCAAAGCCTCGATTATAGTTTTAAAATGGACATAGGCACGGACGAGTAGGTCGCTGTTGAAAAAGAAGATGGTGGATGCTATTTTTAAATAAAAGTCGTCAAAGGTACGTAAGTTACAATGTTTGTTCTATTTGTTTGCTGGCTTCTTAAAAAAAGATTGCTTTCAGTAAATAGTTTCAAAGCCTACTTTTTAGTTTTACTTCCCGCGCGAATTGGCGGGGATGTATTGCAATCGCGAAAAATTTCGAAATTGAGATATATGTAATTGTGTTTTTTTATCCTTCATGACATGTACATCACGAAAAACCGTATCATTCATTTCCGTAGGTCTGTCTGTCTTCAGTTGATTTATCGTACAATGTTTTTCCACGCATCCTGAATTAAATTGCGATTTTTGTGGTTTGGATCCTTCGGATTCCAAAGTATTTCCTCTTTTTGGTAGAGATCCAAAAATTCATTCACTAGATCGTTGTTCCACTCCATTAATATTCACTAAGTACAAATTGATGCTGCACTGATCGGACAAAATATAATGAAGGAACAGCGAAGTTAGAGCGAAGCGTCTGGGAGCTGCCACCAAAACTAATTCGCCGAACTTCGCGTCCTTTGTTTCGGGCTATTTTACCGACAATCAACGGGAAGAACTACGTACTACCACGAAGTGCGAAAGCGGGGCGAAGCCACTCTCCCACACGTTCCACGAAGTTAGGCGAAGCTCGCAGCGTCTGGGACCGGCTTTACATCTCGCCGTTCGGCCCGATCCAGGCTCTGTCGGTTTCTCAGCGCAACATCAAAGGAATGGCTCGCGATGAAGTTGCATATGTTTGGACAGGCATACCGGTGCGGCTAGCACCCATGTGTTATTTTGTGATGTACGAGTACTTAGAAGTAAAATAATTATTTTTCTTACTTGTATACTTTCCTTTAAAACTTCGATCAATGCCTCACACACTTCTGGAATGATGTAGCTGATCGATTGCTTTGAAATTCGAAACATGTATTGCAAAATACTATATGAATCACCGGTCGCTAAAAATCGCACCGTGACTGCAAGTCTTTCTTGCACTGTGAGGGGAGCTCTCCATTTTGTGTCTTGTTTTCGTATTTTTGGTCCAATCAACGTGAGAAGATACTCAAAAAAAAATCCGACGGAGACATCCTCGTAAAATTTTTGTACTGTCCACTTGTTGAAATTTCAATACCGGTATCAAATTGTTGCAACCGTGTGCTGATCTATTGGTAAATAACTGAGTTTGTTACCATCGTCTGGGACGCCGTCGTCGCTTGTTTTTGGATAAATAGTAGTGAATATAAACATAGGCAGCTGCTGCTACTGCACTGAACGACAAACATCAAAATTGGATCGTCATGTTGTTGCACGATGTGGTTGCACGACTTGCTTCGGTTTGTGGTGATGTTCGTTGCAATGTTGTTCGTCAAAATACGCGCGCTGCGGTTCGTCGCGTATTTTATTTTATATCTGTACATGGCTTAATACACCGTTAAGAAGAGAATTGCTAGAAAATTTGGGTTACATTTTGCGCAATAATAAATAGGAGTTGCTTCAAGCAACTTGTAATCCAGGGGAAAATTATTGGAAAGAGAAGCTGAAAAAGAGGCTCCTGGTTGAAGAATCCCTGGGTCTGGTTCGGAAAATCATCTGATGAACTCTTCCGTACTTAAAAATCGTCCTACGATCAATGCTTGAGGAGGAGAAGGCAGAAAAAGTAGATTGGGCCACTAGATTGATTAAATAATTTAATCATTGAATTACCTTCTTTGTAAAATTGGAATCCCATGTGGCTGGCATCAATGGCTACCGAAATTGGTCCAACAGTGGCAATGGCTGCCTTCAGTTGTTCTTCATCGCCAGATTCGATATCCGTGAATCCTGTAGAAAAATTACAAATGGATACACTACAGAAGTCACAATAATCTAGTTGAACTGTTGTTAGTTGAACTGTATCAAAACCTTATACCATTGATTAACGTTTCTACGTGAAGATAGCCAATCAAATGCTATAATCCTGCGTCCAAAAAATCCGAAATAAATTGAAATGGCGTTGTAGCCACCTCGTATATGCTCAAATAGTTTTCGTATAGTGCCTTGTTTTATATCAGATAATTTTTTGGACTCGTAGATTACGTTGGCTGTCTAAGATATACAACCAACATTGTATGAAATCGAAGGTCATTTATATATCTTTAGTTTAGAAAGATGACATTTGCATTTGCAAAGCATTCTTACCTACATAAAGGTAACTGAACTGATCAAAACCACAACGTTGAAACAGATAATTGCTGGTTTAATTACCTTATAACGAATAAGATATGCCTTTTTACTTCACAGTTTTATAATGCAATTACATTTTTTACTTTCTTAATATAAGCATGGTTAAGATATTTAAAAAAGCAGTATCGTAATCAGAGCAAGTATCATTTCCGCCGCCTTATGTATTGGCAGTTCACACTATTTCACACTGCTGATAAAGTCCTTTACCCACTTGAATATAAGGTGTTCCACTAAAAAAATGGATTATATAAACTATTGTATTATACAGGGTGTTAGGGAAATGATATTCGTAACTTTAAGAGATGATTCCTTGCATTATTCTAAACAAAAAAGTTAATTATAACTTATGTCCGAAAATCAATCGTTTTCGAGGAAAGTGAGTCGTAAATAATTAAATTTTCTTAAACATTTGGCAACGCAACCGCGATAAGAGCGCACGACGACCGCAACAGATTCATCGAATTGTTTACGTTTGTATGATAATTTTGTTGAAAATATGCCTTGAATTATTGAATAGTTTTACGCAATTTTTTGTGGTTAATATTTTCTATTTCATAACGCTTTCAGTACAGTAAATTTACTTAAAAAAATGACAGAACTTACCGATACGTGGCGATACACACCACCAGTTCCCACGATTATCAGTCACTTATTTGAAACGAAAAAAGAAAAAACCAACATCCGTAAAGCACATAAAGTTACAGTTAAATGTATTAGTAATCACAACAACACGCGATGATACATGCAGTGCAGGCGGAGTACGACGTTGCCAGTTGTGTGAGGGATTTTGTTTGTCTGTTTTTCTTCGGAAAATTGTATTTAAAAAGCAAGAAAATTATTTAATTAATAAATAGATGTATAGATACATTTTACGCTGTTAGGCATATGAATTTAAATTATTGAGGTGCAAAATTAATTTATTTCAATGACTAAAAAGAAATAAGTTCAGCATTTTTTTGCTCCGAAATGGTTGATTTTCGGACACAGGTTATTATAAGATAGTTTGAGATTTTCGCGAATTTTATATTAACTTTTGAATAATTCGGAAAAGCTATTATGTCAAATTGAAGCTGTTAGCATACTGATTTCCACTCTGATTTTAACATCCCATTGTCATGACTTTACTGAATACTTCTATATTGGTGTTTATTTTCAATATGCAGATGATTTCTATCTGCTAAAAAATAATTTTCATATTCAGAGAAATACTCTAGGACTTTCATGCTCATACCTTTATCGGTAGCTCCACTTTCGCTAGGATTGTAGTGGCATTTTTCATCCTTTCCATCGTAGGGGTAAGCCTCTTCGGTGTCGATACCTTTGTTAGCTTTGATGTACCTAAAGGCGTTGTCCATCAATCCACCGTTGCATCCATTGTTGCCAAACTTGGTGGAACAGTCAACGAGATTTTGTTCGGAGAGAGATACCAACTTGCCGGTTTTGCGGTAGTGTTGTCCTTCCAGGGCCCCAGTCTAGAACAGAAACATGAAACAACGACATAGAAAATTGTATTCATTTGTCGTCAACTGCAGACTCTTCGGTATTACGACACTAAGATATTAGACTCAGATGTCAGGAATTAGAAAGTTAAAATGCGAAAACAGCGTGTCAAAATCTATACCAGTAACGGTTTACAAAATTTCCACGAAACTTTCCATATAAGTACCAAATAAATGAACCAAAATGTCACGTGATTCTTCATCAAGTGTCCAGAGTTGAAAAGAACAATATTGGTTAATCCAAAAGATGATGACGTGCCCGTTAACCCTCGTCTCGTTCTATCGGGATTAGTCTTAAAGCTCCAAATTTGTTTATGTAAAGTGGCGACTCTTAAGAAAACCATTTGTACCACTGTATATGAAAGAGTCTGCAAGGATACCTACCGCACTGAAGGACCAGCAAGATCCGCAGTGTCCTTGGTCCTTGACTGGGGTTACAGCACCATGTTGTCTCCAATCAACTTCTTCAGGAAGCTTTACATTTGCTGGAGGAATGAAGCTGAATCCATCATACTCTTCTGTGCCTCGTAGGCCGCTCTGTTTAGTTTTGTTGAATCCGTTCAGGGTTTGGATGATTTCGTGCGATAACATGTCAGCATATTTATTGGTGTCTACAAAAGATATAAATCAGTGAGTATATGAGCAACTTAGGAGGTGACACTTCTTTGGCTAATGACGTGGCGCGCAAATGTTTCACGTACAAAACTTATTCCGATCCGAACATATTCATCATAAAACGATATACTGAACACATAATGTACAACGCTAGGGTAACAATCCAATGATACATCGATTTTGGATCACAATACTTGTACATGTCATATCAGTATAAATGGCCACCATTAGAGATGATCTTAGCAGCGACTTGCAAGTTGCCGGGATACCGGTGACAGCGACCTTAAAGTCGCCGGTAGATTTAGCAGCGCTTTAGGTCACTGCTTATCTATGTTCGCTGCCAGCAGCCAGCGAGTCCCTGGCGCTGATTAAATTACTCGATATTTGGCGGCGGTTATCCATTGATATTAACGAGGTGTAGATGTTCAGGTTCCTGAAGATTTGAATTACACTATATTTAAGATTTTTGTTTTTAACAATATTGAGCACAAAACACATAAAATCATAGAAATATATATAATAATAATATGTATCTATTTTTTCTTGTTAGTACAATAAGTTTGAAATAAAAATGTTTGGTTTTTCTTGCTAATACAATAAGTTTGAAATGAAAATGATTGGTTAATTTACAATACCTGGAATTTTATTTAGGCGCCGCAAGGTTTTTTAGACTTACAAAATCAAGCGCCGTGGTCCAAATGGAGATTAACAATTCAATATAATGTTAGTCTAAACAGTCTGACGAGGCCATGTATGATTCTGGTGCTGTCAGACATAAATGACTGACGCCGCCAAATAATGCCTAACAGTATAATCAAATCCAAGCAAATAACCAACATTTCTGTGTTATGTGCCGCGGTTATAATATAGTTCAAGATGACACACGGGTTGATGACGTCAGTTACACGAATCGCTTGAACGCCTTGGTTTTAACCGCGGTTTTGTTGCAAGTTGTTTATTTTAGAAAAGTGCGTATATAATCTCTGATTATTTTTATTATCACTTAATAATCGGTGATTTTTTTACTACAACGGTGTAAGGAAAGTTTAAATACGAAACCTTTCATAATATTCATGGGAGAAATGTTTTTTCCAGAAAAATTTTTTTAATGATGGAACCATGGGTTTGTAGCTATGATAACTTTCAATTATCTAAAGTTTTCCGCATGTCAAAGAAAACGTTTATTGATTTAGCAGAAATGATGAAAAAAACGGTGAAAAAAGATATTAGCAAAACCGTATACAGGTGGACATAATCCATTGAGTTATATGGCTATATGGTTATATTTTAATATTCTTGTCGTATATGTACATAGGATACTTTGTTAAACATAGGAAACTAGATTGAAAGTATTCCCAACAACAGTAATGAGTATAACTAATAAGGTGCTCTACTTTATGCTAACACTGAACTCTGCCTGTATCAAGTTTCCCAAAAATGAAGCTAAAGTACATTAGCAATATCCAATACCTGACAAAATTCTAACTTGTCACATTTTAAATAATAACCTGAAATATAAAACTACTCCTGAGTTGGGTAAATACCACAATTTTGCGGTGATAACTATGACATATAACAGCTGATTCATGACGTCATGGATCTTATAACCAAACTGATAACCACACTCGCTTGAACGGATCGGTAAATAACAACCCAAAATGGTAAATACCATTTTCATTTGGTTATCCGCTTGAATTTGATTTATGTCAGTCATAAACGAGTGACGGCACAAAATAAAACAAGAATAAAATAGAATGCCGGCAGTCAGAGTGTTAACTTTATCACTTACTGAAAAAAAATTCCAAATATCACTAATCTTTTGGCACTTTGACATATTTATAAGGTGATTGCAACAATAACAATAAAAACTAACAAAATAGGTTAGGCTACGCTGTAGCGACCCTGTACTTCCCGCGCGATGATCACGATGTGTATTTGCTTCCTGGCAGCGACCGCGACCGAAACAGCGTTACAGCTACCGATCAGTGGTTACCGATACCGATACTTCCAAACAGCGATCTGGGTCGCTGCTTCATGGAGAATCAGGTCGCCGGGACTAACAGCGACCATTCAAGTCACCGGGAAAGGTCGCCAGTACCGATATATCGATCATCTCTAGCCACCATCCTCCCAAGTTTTTAGATACTATATCCATAAAACCGTAATATTGAATGTTTTGTGTGTGGAAAGGAAATGACGCTAATTGAGATTTCAGGATTTAAGTACAATATGGATTTTTTTCGAATCTATCACGCGCGATATATCACTGTTCAAACCCTTGTTTTGTAAACTTCTCTTAAATAAGAACGTTATCAGAAAAAGAAAAAGGATTTTAGAGCAGACAGAAACCTAAGATTCATAAACAATGGTTATCACATTAAAAAAATGAAATACGTATCGACGAAATTTTGATGATGTTGTTGTCGGGAACTGATAATAAATAAAAAATCTGCGTTTATCTTTTTTGCAGAAAACTGTTTACAAGCAATTGTTTGGTCGCGCTGAATAACAAAGCTGATAAAAGAGGTTAGTCACTCTGATCAACCTACAGAAATAACAATAAGTCATATATATGTGATAATAATGGCGCAGCAACTACTCGTATAATCACTACACACTTTTGTAGTTTTGTAATACCAGTACATATACAGTTAGAGTTATATACCTAATTTGTATGATACAAGTCCCAGAGCATACAGTTTGTTATGTTTGGCAACTTTGTGTGCATTTTCCATGAAGATTTTCATACGGAACCTTTCTTCTAGTTCACTTCCATATTGTTTCTTATGTGTAACCTGAAAAAATGTTACAGATAAAGCAAAAACGACGCTACTTGCAATTCAACTTTGTATTAGCAACGATGGAGTAGAAAAATATGAAATAATTATATACTTGTAATAAATAAAATAACGAATGCAAATATCTTCTAGAAAAATGCTGCATGTCATATTTGAGGCCCCAAAATCAAATAATCACCCCCTCCCTCCAATGTCTACTAGGCTCCTTTCCGCCCCATGCGTAGGCTCCGGTTGATATCCGCATACTCATCATTGCTAAATTCCATTTCACCACACTCAAAAACGGCAAAAATAAACTTTTGACTCCACTTCTACAAACAAAATATGGTAGTAGTAAGTATAACAGCCGTATAACACATAACTTTGACAAACTATCTTCCAAGAAACGTCATGTTGTTATCAAGGCCTCCTAAATTATTTTGAAACTAATTGTATCTCGGCTCTTCATGAACTATCTAATTTGCTTTTTTATTTTTACGAATACAATGCACTCTGGAAAAAACATAAGAGCAATTATTTATAGCAAATTGAAGGTAAAATTCGAAAAATTACGCGTTTCGAAAAAAAAACAGTGGCTTACTATTTTTATTTGGAAAAATAATTCCTGCATCTCCGCCACTGGTGAACGTTAATTTTAAGTAAATACTTTTGAATGTGGACAATACTTTGGTAAATTCACATACCAGTTCAGAATTTTGAAGGTATTAATTTTTTTAATTTTTAAACTTCAACACCCGTATCTTTTTAATGAAGCCCTCGAGAAAAAAATGTTACATAAAAGACTCTCCTTAAAATGAGGCCCTGTTTATGATGTTTCATTTTTGGTCACGACTTGTGAATCACCCTGTATGATCATAATATTGCATCAGCAGGGTACTTCCAAAGCAGAGTATGCAGTTTGTAACTTTATATTTTACGTATAAAGTTTCGACACAGTCATACTTGCAAGCATATTCAGTTTCATGATATATTGAATAGTGTCATAACTATTTTCATATCTGTTTAAAAATAAAATATTTGCAATAAAATAGTTGCAAAAAGACAGTTATATTAAAAACAATTCTTGGAATATGCTTTTATTATGAATAATCGCTAGTTACACCTAGGAGAAAATGTCAAAGAAATTAGTATGGGAACTTAATTAATTGTAAACATAACTGATGAAATCACCTCTAATGTTCAGAAAGGTTTTTACTCGCACAAGTGACATGTAACCAAGTAAATAGTCATTATATTTACAATTATTTCATGTCGTTTTAGTATCACAAGATTAGGGGAGTAAATATGTAGTGGTACTATAGATAGGAGGTAATGGTCTCCTCATAATCAAACATGCACATCATAAACGGACTTTGATGGAAAGTGCGAAGCCAAGCATCATAAGGGTAAAAGAAATGAAATCCAATATGAAATGTTAAAGCATGATTTCTGAAAAGTCTCATCTGGATTTTGGAACATGGAACTGTAAGCTTTTTATTTTAGTCAATTTAACATCTAAAGTAGACCTATATCCAAGTGAACATTTTGGGGAAAACTAAGCTCAAAAAGATTTTCAATATGTACATTGTAAATCCACTGGATGTTATTCAGATTTCCAGTGAATATCCAATTCAACTGTTTATTAATAAGAGGGTGTCTGTTCACTTGCATATGAAATAACATGCAGATTAAATTTAGAGGTAGATATAAATTTAGTAAGATCCAACCATATTCGGGCAAAAATATACCTTCTGCCATTTAAAAAAATCGGTCTCATGAGAAGCTTTGCGAACATATCGCTTATTGGGTGAATAAGACATGCACATAAGTCTGATTAACGAATTTGAAAACAATCCAAATACTAAACAGTTGCTAACATCTCTTTGTTCTCACTCTTCACTGTTCAAACCCCTTATGTGCTCTGAAATATCTGTCAGCTATCAGTGTTAATACATATTTTTTCACATGTTTAATTTTACAAGACATATGAAGATAAGAAAGCCAGTTTAATATGTGGTGTTGGTATGGTACTATTTTTATTATTTTTCGTCGAAAATTCAGTTCATAGCATCATAGTTATCCTATGATCCAACTTTATCTTTGTACTTAACTTAATCCATTGTCAAAAATAAAAAAATTCTAACAGTCACTTTGTTTTAAAAATTGACTTTACTGTATAGTATAATTTCGAAAATGTTTCATAGAATCGTTTATTTCATAAGTATGTGAATGTGTAGTTACCTCTACATTCCTATTTCAAATTGACTCTTAATTATTGTAAAAATCTTTAACAAAGCCATAAGTATTGCAATGTTTTTTTCTACCAGAGCCATACCTTATGCTTCAGAAGAGAATAACAATTTGAGAAATTATTGGTCAATGTATTTGGATTAATTGAGACTCTAATTAGGAGTTGTTGAAGCTGAAAATATGATCAAACTGTTGAAATTTAAATCAATCTTCAACTTGTTCAGGATCTACTACCCTAATATTATTTATGATTATGGTTCTGTAGCTTGTGTTACATCTATTGGCGCAACAAAATACGTTATATCTGTCACTATTTTAAACAAGACAACAAAAGAATGCTCACTGTGATAGTGTATAAAGACAGTTCAATTCATTTTGACAATAAAAGTCACATGATATACAATAAATAATTTAATTATTTTTGTGATGTATATGAAATATTTCAATGTATAGGATTTGTAAACATCTCATGTCATCACTCAGACAAGGCCTGTTAAACTTAGAAAGAGATAACCTTTACAGAAAATCTAAACATTTGGACATACTATCTTAGCTAAAATAGATTTATATTCTGATACTATTCAAATTATCAGAACATTAACCAAAACATTATGTGAGCATGATTACCAACAGAGTTGAACTTTGCTTAATTTTAGCTGGAATGTTGTACACAAATATTCAAGAGTTATGGGATGAGAATAACTACACACAATATATACAGGGTGGCCAAACACGTGACGTCATAAAAAAAAAATTAGATTCCCCACATCGAGAGGAACCCAAATCACCCCCATATATATGGTCCGATTTTGTTTAGTTTAGGAGTTATGATTTTTTTTCGGATTTTTCGAGAATTTTTGAGTTCTGTGTTTATTTTTACCATAACTTCGTTAATAATTGTGATAAATGCCTGCTTTTTTCACGATTATGTAGCTAAGACCTAAGGCTTAACTGTCATATAATCATTCAAGTCATGTAACTAATACTACTTTTTAATTTTTTTCAAAATCTTCGAACATAACAAAAAAGTAAAAAAGTGCAACAACTTTGAACGTTTATAAAAAATTGAAAAAACATGTTCTTACTATTCGTAAGTATCTTAAAAACTTCCTTACGGTATCAGCTATTTACCGTAAAAATTTCATCAACCTAGCTTTACTACATGCTACCGTAATTGTGGCTCAAATAGAACCGAACCCAAAATTGGATAACCCTCTGCTCAATAGAAATTGTTAGTTTCGGAAAAAAAATTTGCAAAAACCACAAAAACACGTTTGATTTTTACTGAACAGCAGATTATTATTCATTTATGTTATTTACAAGAGGTTTTCAAAATGTCTGCCTCTAACAGAAATGCACAGTGTACACCTACGTATGAAATTTTGTTTTAAATCTCTAAATGCTTGTGTGTTGTTTTTCAACACATGTGTCGCTTCTTGAATTTTGTTCCTCAATGAATTTTCATTTGCACATTCTTGGGCGAATGTTATGTCTTTAAAATATCCCCAAACAAAAAAATCAATGGGGTTGAGGTCAGGGGAGCGTGGAGGCCATCGTATCGGTCCGTTTCGTCCGATCCATCTGTCTGGGAACCTTTCGTTTAAGTAGTTTCGCACGATCGTTGCGTTGTGGCATGGTGCACCATCATTCTGGAACACCATGTTCCGTCTGGCTTCCAGGCTTGAATCTTCCAGCAATAATGGTAGGCTATTTTCAAGGAAGCTTTTGTAGGCTACCGAATCCAACCTTGACGGCAGTTCAAATGGACCGATAAATTCCATATTGAATATTCCTGACCACATGATCACACTAAAACGGTGTTGAAATGTCGACGGCCTTGAGTGGTGGGGGTTTTCAACAGCCCAAGTATGTAAATTATGGATATTGAATATCCCTGTTCTTTCAAAACGTGACTCGTCAGTCCATAAAATTTTATCAAAAAAATCGGGATCCTCTCGTTGTCTTCGCAGCATTGTCTCGCAGAAATCCACTCTTAACTGGTAATCTGAAGGCATCAACGCTTGAACTCTTTGAACATGATAGGCATGATAACCTTCTTCATGAAGAATATTTTGTATCGACGTTCGTGGTATTCTAAGGTTTTGTGCCATAGATCTCGTACTCGTTGAGGGATTCCGGCTAATTTCTTCAAGTACTACTTCTCTGCGATCCGGATCAGCTGTAGGATATCCTTCATTGCTTCCTCGTCCTGGAATGCGGCCTGCCATGAAAGTGTTATGTGTGTTAATAAAAACACGGTGGTCTGGGTAATGCTCAGCTGTACCGGGAACAACTTATACGCCGAGGCGGACCACAACCTGAGCATTACCCAGACCACCGTGTTTTTATTAACACTCATAACACTTTCATGGCAGGCCGCATTCCAGGACGAGGAAGCAATGAAGGATATCCTACAGCTGATCCGGATCGCAGAGAAGTAGTACTTGAAGAAATTAGCCGGAATCCCTCAACGAGTACGAGATCTATGGCACAAAACCTTAGAATACCACGAACATCGATACAAAATATTCTTCATGAAGAAGGTTATCATGCCTATCATGTTCAAAGAGTTCAAGCGTTGATGCCTTCAGATTACCAGTTAAGAGTGGATTTCTGCGAGACAATGCTGCGAAGACAACGAGAGGATCCCGATTTTTTTGATAAAATTTTATGGACTGACGAGTCACGTTTTGAAAGAACAGGGATATTCAATATCCATAATTTACATACTTGGGCTGTTGAAAACCCCCACCACTCAAGGCCGTCGACATTTCAACACCGTTTTAGTGTGAACATGTGGTCAGGAATATTCAATATGGAATTTATCGGTCCATTTGAACTGCCGTCAAGGTTGGATTCGGTAGCCTACAAAAGCTTCCTTGAAAATAGCCTACCATTATTGCTGGAAGATTCAAGCCTGGAAGCCAGACGGAACATGGTGTTCCAGAATGATGGTGCACCATGCCACAACGCAACGATCGTGCGAAACTACTTAAACGAAAGGTTCCCAGACAGATGGTTCGGACGAAACGGACCGATACGATGGCCTCCACGCTCCCCTGACCTCAACCCCATTGATTTTTTTGTTTGGGGATATTTTAAAGACATAAAATTCGCCCAAGAATGTGCAAATGAAAATTCATTGAGGAACAAAATTCAAGAAGCGACACATGTGTTGAAAAACAACACACAAGCATTTAGAGATTTAAAACAAAATTTCATACGTAGGTGTACAGTGTGCATTTCTGTTAGAGGCAGACATTTTGAAAACCTCTTGTAAATAACATAAATGAATAATAATCTGCTGTTCAGTAAAAATCAAACGTGTTTTTGTGGTTTTTGCAAATTTTTTTTCCGAAACTAACAATTTCTATTGAGCAGAGGGTTATCCAATTTTGGGTTCGGTTCTATTTGAGCCACAATTACGGTAGCATGTAGTAAAGCTAGGTTGATGAAATTTTTACGGTAAATAGCTGATACCGTAAGGAAGTTTTTAAGATACTTACGAATAGTAAGAACATGTTTTTTCAATTTTTTATAAACGTTCAAAGTTGTTGCACTTTTTTACTTTTTTGTTATGTTCGAAGATTTTGAAAAAAATTAAAAAGTAGTATTAGTTACATGACTTGAATGATTATATGACAGTTAAGCCTTAGGTCTTAGCTACATAATCGTGAAAAAAGCAGGCATTTACCACAATTATTAACGAAGTTATGGTAAAAATAAACACAGAACTCAAAAATTCTCGAAAAATCCGAAAAAAAATCATAACTCCTAAACTAAACAAAATCGGACCATATATATGGGGGTGATTTGGGTTCCTCTCGATGTGGGGAATCTAATTTTTTTTTTATGACGTCACGTGTTTGGCCACCCTGTATATGCAGTTTTACCACAAAACCATTGTATTAGTGGTTGTTATAAATCATGAATAATCAGTGTGTTATGTAGGTACAGCTTCTATAGCTATTCTGGGATTTCCAAATTGCTATACTGCATGTTGAAATACCTACATAGAGTGATTCAGCCAGTTGTAGTAGTAATAATATTTTTAGGATACTTATGTAGTTTTTTTCATATGTTGGAAAACAGCCCGCTCTGTAGCTTAGTAAGAGTTTAACATTCAATTTCTTGACACTGTCTTCAATCATTTTCAGAATTTTTTTCAAAGTGGGAAAATTTATATGCAATTGCAATTCAATAAATGATATACCTAGCATGAACTAAAGCAGCCCAGTTTCTAACTCCATAGTCTTAGTCTGATAGATTCTATATGTACCTAACTGAGTAAGAGAACATTTTTCAGCTTGTACTTTTTAGTGAACCTTCTGCTCAATAAATCGTCCCATTAGAGCAGAAATATATAATTTCCAAAACAGCAATTGCACCACTCCGCAGATTATAAGCAGTTCTACGCAACAAGGATATAAGGGTAGGTCATAGACTAAATTTTTAGTCACTCATTTTGGGTATTCTCCGTCAGCGTAGAAAGGGTATATGTCTGCACCGCGCGAGACGACCTTCAATATGTCATATAGAATATAAAAAAGCAAAATTTGTGACATGGAATACTTCTGTGATGAAATGTTGCCACTCTTTTTGAATCATCCCATATCACATCATTTAACATTTAACAGGATGTATTCAGGGAATGACAGCACTATAACACTTTAACTCTATTTAAATATCTGTGGTTTAAATCAACTATATGAGCCCCTTTCCACTTCAGTTGGCCCAACTATTGAAATCTTAGTTTTTCTCTTATCAAACACAAATAAAAATGTAGCAGGGTGTTATAGGTTTAAAATATTAACAATGAATATTTTGATAATATATAGTAGAAAACACCAACTTTATCACTCCCTAATCAAATTTGCAGCATAAAAATAACACATGTTTTAATTACAGCATATCAACCTATTTTCATTTCAATGCAAAATAAGTCTATAACGCATAGGTGGCTGTGAAAAATAAAAGCCATGACAATTGTTTTTATTAATCACAGCTGTCAGAATACGTTTAAAATAGTTTTGGGTAGTTAAGGTTTTCAAAATGGGTAGAGGAAAGGTTATTAGTGAGAGAATTCGGTTAATGATAATTAAATTTTTTAATTCTGGGAAATCAAACTCAGAAATTGCAACTTTCTTAGACTTATCGCGGTACAGTGTGAGAAATATTGTTAGAAGATATAACGTATCTGGTTCAGTTAATATTAAGCCACGATATGTGAAAAAAAGTAATATCACAAATGCCGACCGAAGAGCATTAAGAAGAATAATCGTGAAAAACAGGCATGCCAATTATTTACAATTAAGTGCTCTGTGGGGTGATGCTGTAGGAAGGAGAATTTCGAGGTGCACAACTCATAGAGAGGCCCACAAACTGGGATTTAGCACTTGCAAAGTAAGATTTCTTATAAAAAAAAGTAAAGTAAAAACCCTAAAGTTGCACAACTTGTTTATAGGCCAAAGAAAATCCACTATTAACTCCACTGCAAAAGAAAAATCGGCTTAGATGGGCTAAAGAACATAGACAATGGACACCTCAACAATGGTGTGCAATACAATGGAGTGAAGAGGCCCGATTCAAAGTTTGTGTTGGTGACAGTCGTAGTAGAGTTATTCGCAAAAAAAATGAAGCATTCCATGTTGACAGTCTGAAGAGAAAAGTGAAATTTCCAGCATCCATTATAGTCTGGGGCAGTATGTCATCAAAAGGAGTAGAGAAACTTCATTTTATTGATGGAAATGTGGATACAAACAAATATTTGGCAAATTTAGAAGAATCGCTTTTACCAGTGATGGAAGAATGTTTAACATCCAGACAAGATTTTGTGTTTCAGCAAGATGGTGCAGCATGCCATACCTCAAAAAAGGCTATAAAATGGATGGAAGAAAATAATGTACCACTTTTGAAATGGGTTTCTAGCAGTTCAGATCTGTCACCTATTGATACTTTGTGGCACGAGATGAAAAAGGTTCTACGACAACATCCTACTCATACAATCACCAAACTGAGACAAAAGATTCAAGAAATATGGGACTGGAAATGGTAATCTTTTAATTGTTGCTTTGTTAACTTCGCGCATTTATTCGCACATTGTTTATTTCTTCAGATGTTCTATTAGGCCCGTATCGTCAGTCGTCCCTACAATTGTAGGGCGCCTTTATGACCTCCTTGATTGTCATAGTTTTCAACTTCTCCGTGTCAGCGCTCTATATTGAGGTTATGTCACAAACATCATTTGCATCAAATTGTGATTGGTTTTGAGTTATATCAAGTTTTATTAGCCTGAAATTTCGTACAATTTAAAAGGAAAACAAATCTTCACAATAGGAGAGCGCTGACGCTGACACGGGACAAGTGTAATCTAGAAATTTTTGAAGGAGAGAAAGAAGTATTACAATCAAGGAGGCCATAAACGCGCCCTACAATTGTAGGGTCGACTGACGATACGGGCCTTAGTGATTTCAAATATGTATTTTTTACGACTAGAGTGTATCTAAAATGTTTTTGAGAAAATGAATTTTTTTAGAAGTAAATAGTTTTGTCATGTTTAGTTTATAAAGGCATATTTTGGTACAAATCTTGAAGTGGGCCAACTGAAGTGGGAAGGGGCTCGTAGACACTGGCATATTCAACAGCAAATGTGCTGACATTGCAGATATTTATATAGCCGTGTCATCTGTGGTAGAACATAAAGGATAATAATAATAATAAAAGAGAGAGTTTACTCACTTTGAAGGAACCCCATTGTTCTTGAACTAATTCGAAAAATGACACTGCTTGGCCACCCACAAAGAGAGCAGCGAGAAGAACAAATAATTTCATGTTTCTGTAAAAAACGCAAATACCATATTAAGCTGAATGCCCATAATTATAATAAATACGTATATGGCTATTTCAACCAATAAATCTTTGTAATTGAGTATTTTTAATACTTACACAAATTTTGTATATCTTCAAGTACCGTTTTATATACAAAACTACAAACAAATTCTGTCGTTTTCGCCCTCAAACAAAGAATACCAAATCTTTTATCCAAAACAGACCAACCCTCTCCCCTCTATATATCCTCCCCACCATTAAGCATGTTATTCATTGCTGTTGGATCATATGATATTGGTGTTATCTTTATCTTGCTGGTAGCCTTGCATTGATTTCCTCTTTCACTTTAATGCCAAAAAAGCCGTTGGTCACCGCACAGGACTGGACTGACACGGCAACAAAAACTATAATGCGAATATGTGTTGGATGCAAAAACGGATCTGGATTATAACATTTTGCTGTGCCGCGCCTGAGTCCTCTGCTGCACAGGTATCATGAAAAAAACCTATAAGATGTCATCTTCCAGACTAGGTAGTTTTTAGGGCGGAAACAGTCATTCCACGTTTGCTCACTAGGATCGTTGTGAACGTCCATCTATGGAGGAATCACTCAACTAAACTACACGCTTTATTGGTTGCATATGTTTTGTGAGATCGAGTGGTGCGTGTCTGTACTTGTTATCTCTGAGAAGAAAGTTGAATAGCAAGATCGCATCTTGATTATGTGTATTGGTATGCATGTGTATACAATCAGTGATATTTGCTGTGTGAGAAAATCATTACTGAATATGCTGCCAACGAAGTATATCTATTAGCTGTGCCCGATGGGTTATTTATATGTTATGTCTTCTGAAGAGAGGTTATGCTCAAAGTTATAAATTAAGAAAAACTGAGGAGAACTACGGGAAATCATCACCGCGTCCGCGTTGTGTATAATTACTGTAATTCGACAGTGTACAGTGAATATAATTATTATTTCTTATCTCTCTCATTTTTGAAATTCAGCAAATTTGTATATGTAATCTCCAGAATGGATAAGAAAAAGTGTCTGCGCAACTAATTTCTAGCTTTGAATCTCAATTAAGTGTATTTGAGAAAGGAATCCAATGAAAATATATCATCAACACATACTGCTTACAGCTTAGACCTCCATTAATGCCATCTCTGAAGCAGATTTTACATCACATGTGAAGCCTCATGACATTTATGCAACACGTACAACTAAGTGCTAAGTTAACATCTTGTAGAAAAACCTACATAATGTCAAAAAAAACAGTATAATGTAAAAAAATCGATATCACGTCACTTTTCAAGATACATGATACCAGTGCAGATCTAAGTACCATATTGTCGTTCCGACAGTTGTGGGACGCCTTTATGGCCTCCTTGACTGTCACAGTTTATGCATATTCTTCAGAAAGGCATGGGTATTTCTAGATTTCGACTGTTTCGTATACTCGCTCTTTTTGAGGTTATATTTTCTTTTTGAATTCTAAGAAATTTCAGTCAGAATACATAACCTGACGATAGAAGAGTGCTGACGCTGACACGGATTAGTAGAAATCTATAAAGACCCCAGCCTTTCTGAAGGAGAGAAAAGACTATGAAAGCCAAGGACATATTTTAAATACAGGGTATTACAAAGAATTGTTAGGGAAGCCTAAAGTCAGATTTGTGGTGTGTGCTCATTAAGGGGTAGAGAAGCGAAATTATTTCGCTTAGATTCGTTACAGATAATTAAACCTTTCTCCCTGCTTATTTACTGCATTCGAAGTAACGTAAATATTGAACTGTCGTCACTTCTAGTATAGTTATTCTCCAGAAACACGTCTGCAAGATTTCAAGAGGGCAGCTATTTACTTACTCTATACTCCATGTGCACTTATATAGTTGTAGTCACCGTTCTTGGCGGTATCATCAACGCCATATGAAATAAGTAAACAGATCGAGTCTCCGTACCATGAGCGGATCTATCACAATTTAACTAAGGTTTTGATTAAATTAACTTCTCATATCGTAAAAAGTATTCCTAATTTCTGTTTTGACGGCATCGCTTACATCATCGGTCTTGCATTTTTGATTTTGTGAGTTTCCCCAGCTGTTACTATGGGCAAACCTTCCATATTTTTTGATTTTAAAGGCTGAACACTGCGCAGACTAATCTTCAGCTCATCTGCTACTCACTCCAGTGCGCATGCAGTGGGTAACAAGGGACCGCTGCTTTCATTCTCTTCCTGGAAATACTCTAATAAATTTAACACGAGCTGTCGGCTTTCTCCATTGATCGTATTTCCGGGCATTGTAAAATTTTATATTGAAGATTGATAACAGGACAACTCAAATTGCACGCCGATGTCAAGTAAGTTGTCACTCTGACAAATATGATTGAAGGGCTGTTAAACTGAGAAAGTAATCCCATGGCTACTGCTATAGAGCATAAAAGCGCTGCACAGCTGAACCGCTTTACGTTGGCTGATGGCTGAACGCTCCTATTATTATGATGACTTCTGGCTTTCTGGCAATATATGGAAGCATTCCACCGTCGGACCTACCACAACGATATAGAATGATTCAGAAAACAATGAAAATAATATTTCAAGAGCAAAAAGTGTATTCAAAGATAACATATAACAGTTCATATCAGTCTTGATTACAGTCATTAGGCAGCCCGGTGGCATAGTGGTCGCCTACTACCACAGTCTGGACGCTGTAAGCTGTGCGGGTTCGAATCAGGTTCTAAGAAAAAAATTCTCTTGTGCTCCCTCGCAAGAGTGCGTCTGACGTCTCCCCCCTGTCCCGTGTATTCCCATACAACTCCACGGCACCCACGGGCATCTGGGCCGTATAGACCTATTGTGGTGGTTCAAGTTAAAAAAAAAACATATAATCTAGACTAGAATGTCCCTTTACCAATAAATGGGGTGCTGCACATTTCTATATCGTCGATAAGAATGAGTAAGGGCAAGGTAGAAAATATACAAGGTTTTTTTTCAAAAGGATTAGTTCAATAAACTCGCCAACAGAGGCGATTCGTGCGAAGTTCAAGACATTATTTAAAAAGGCAATAGATGCTTCCAAAAAGTTAGTGGACTGAAACAATTTCTCAATTTATCCATCCTAAGGCTGAAATCCGGTCCTGTAGAAATGACCGACGTGATGTCATATAGGATGGCGTTTTGTTTTCATATCTGACAGCTATAACATAACCTAACTTTATACGTGAATATTTGTAAGTTCGTTTTTGGTATTTAAGTGGTCAGAAATTCGAAATTATTTAGAAAAACAAAAAACATGAGTTTAACAGGAAGAACACGCTTAAGTATACTCGACAAGCCTTTAAGTAAGGGCAAGGGTGAGGTCTCCTTGAGCTGTTTTGCCCTTCTTTTTTCTGAAGTGGTACAATATTGTCAAAATAAATCTCAGACAGTGCCAGAATTACAAAACAGGTATTGGAACAATGCCTTTAAATCTTTTCTGAAACTAACTAGTCTGATAATTGCAGACTCCACGATTTGGGTAAAACTGTAGGTTCAAAACTAATTGACCTATACTTTGTTCGCGAAAGAACTGGTAAAAGAGAAATAAAATTATTGAATATACTGTTGTTTGTCAAAACTTCCCTATGGAAGGTAAGTAAAAATTTTCTATTCATATTCATCATTCTAATTTTAGTCGATTGACGTAAATAAAGGCCGAGCTTTAGAAGTAAAATTTCAGTGATGAAAAAATATGTTTTAGACACTGTTTGGGAAAGAAGCAGATAAATTAGAGCATTCTAATGATGATGAGAACACATATTATCTGATGGAAAAGGAGCCTTTGGTTAATCGTTTCATCTCAGTTCCTAGGGACAAGAGCAGCTTGAATTGTGCTGTGTTCATAGCTGGTATCATTGAGGCAGTATTAACAGGCACTGGCTTTGTAAGTATATAAGTACTTCTTGATTGGGTATTTTTTGTGAGTGTGAAGTACCAACTAAACTATTATTTTCTTAAATATGTATGATACTTAAGCACTATTTAAATTTATGCAATGAACTTATCACATAATATTTTATGTATTTATTTACTTATTTTTTGTTATTCTGCAGTACTAGAATCTATGGTTGCATTCACTAGTACTGAGCCCCAATCTAATGCTGCCTGGCGTATGCTTTAGCAGGTTATGATCTATTGTCAGTGATTGTCTCAGTATTGTCAGCTCATTTGGATGGTATTTGTTATGTTCATTTGCACTTAACTGCTCTGAGCTAGCACTGTGTGTTCTCTCAATATAGTCTGAATCTGCTAAGTAGCACAGCTTGGCACAATCTATTTCATATTATGTGGCCTCTGTTACTTAGTCTGGAGGTTCACAAAATTTTCAATGCTGGTCATTCAGCATACTAGGCAAAGTAATATACTTCATGTGGCTCTAGCTCCTAATGGCTATTTAAGTTTTTGGCGCATCTAAATGAGCAATATTTATGGCCCAGCTATATATCTTGGACATACCAACTATATATTGACTATATCTTCGTATTATTGTCTGGAATGTGAAGACACATTCCTGGTCAGAATTGCTCATCAGAAGGACGATAAAATCTGGTGAGAATGACCACTGGAATTGTATGTATCACAGTTGCTTACATTAAGTAAGATTCCCACAATTGAAAATAGGTTGGAAATGTCAAAAAGCATAGCTCGGCTAGAAAAATATTGCCCATTTAGAAGTCCCATTAACAAAAACATACTCTAGACCAGGGTTACCCAACCTTTTTTTTGTTGAAGCTCCCCGGACTATAAATTATATTTTCATGCGCCCCTTTACTTTGTCAATAAATCCAAAAAACACATTATATAGGTACAAAGACATTTATTTTAATTCTAATAAAGAAACTTTAGAAGTTTAACCCTTCGGCGGTCGCGCTGCGGTACTCCGTGCCGCGTTTTTTTAATTTATTCTAGTTACTGAATAATTTTTCGAAGCACGCCACTGTATCGCGAGGTATGCTTCGTTGGCTATATTTTGCAACGTGTACCTACGGGAACGGAGATGGAAATGCTTCCTTTTAGTGTAAGTCGAGACTTTTAGTGAGAAGGCGCAGTTTGCGGTACTCCGTACCGCCACGCGACCGATCATGTAAGTATTATGTTTGGTTATTAGTTTGATATAGATATCGCTAAAATATATTACAAAACCATTATAGCTCATTATTATTGTTATTTTTTTCCGAATTGGTGTGTTTTATCAACCTGGGATTGTGGAATAATATATAATGTTTGATATTTTAGGGATAAAAAGAGACCACTCACTGAACGAGAGCTGAAAGAGATCGTCGATTTCGATGAGGATATAGTAGACTTTGCAGATGAAAGCGAAGGAGAAGAAGAAGTTATTCAGTATAATGTTTACGACAGCGAGTCTGAGCAATCTGCCGTTGAGGACTCGAACTATACACACGAACTGGAGAATCAAGGAGATGAGTTCTTTTACATTGGAAAGGACGAAGAGAATGTTTGGAAAAGTACTCCTGTGAGTTTTACCAGTAAAACTAGGTCTAAAAATATAATCAAGATATTACCAGGTTCAAAAGGAGCTGCGAAAACTGTGTCAAATCATTTAGAGTCATTTTATATATTTATTTCCAATGAGATGATTGACAATATCATAACATGCACAAATTTATATACAGAAAATAAAAAACAAAATTTTGCAAGAGATAGAGATTGCAAAATAACTTCGTCCACGGAGATCCAGGCATTATTCGGCGCGTTATATATAATTGCAGTAAAGAAAGGAAATCGTGTAGATGTGCGAGAACTGTGGAGTACAGATGGAACTGGAATTATTAGACTTCGGGCTGCTTTTAGTTACAGAAAATTTTTATTCCTGTTACGTGCTTTACGATTTGACAATATCAACACCAGGAAAGAACGCCAAAATATAGATAAATTAGCTGCAATACGGGATATTTACTCCGATTTTGTAAAGAATTGTATGAATAATTACATCTCTGGGGAATTCATTACCATTGATAAAATGCTTCATCCGTTTCGGGGGCGATGTGGGTTCGGGCAATAAAAAGGAAATTCCCCCGGAATTCCTTCCGAATAAAGCACGAATAGTTGGTTCTTCATTATTCGGATTTCAGGACGAAATTAATTTGGTATCTTACGTACCCAAAAAGAATAAGGGTGTGATAATTCTTTCTTCTGTTGATGACAAAGGAGAGGTTGACAAGGCAACAAATAAGCCAACCATCATTTTGGATCATAACAGGACGAAGAGTGGTGTCGATACTGTCGATCAAAAATGTGCCTCTTATACAACCCAGAGAACCACTAGACGATGGCCCCTTGCAATATTTTTCCGCACTCTTGATATTACTGGGATAAATGCTGAAATTGGATTCAATAATACTAAACCTACAGAAGAGTCTCCTAGAAGACGAAAATTCTTAAACGAATTAGGCGTGTCTCTAATGGAACATCATATGGCGGAACGAGCGAAAATAATTACATTTCCAAAAGACATTAGAGAATTTCTTTCGCGATACCAAACTACTGTTGATGAGGTACCTGCAATAAAGCAAAATGGTAGTGGACGTTGTCATGTTTGTAGTGCGCATAAAAATAATAAAACTACTGCTAGATGTGACTCATGTTATCAGTTTGTATGTAAAAGCCATTGCAAAAAAACAGTTCAATGTGATACTTGTTTGTATACCCCGATGTAGGAAGACTGATTTATTTTAGAATTAAGTCTCTTGGTGGCTACGTTACCATTTTCACTTTAAAAATTCAGTGTTTATCTTTTATGTTCGCTATAGAATAATGTTTTAGTTTTGAATGTTTAAATAAATAAGAGCGCAATATTATAAATAAACTGATTTTTTAAATGTCTATTCTGTTTAATTACAAACTTATTAGTCAATGTTTTCTCTATAATAATACAAAATAAGTCATTGTCCAGATGCGGCACTCAGTGCCGCGATGCGACCGCTCATGTAATTTTAGATTGCGCGACTGACGCAGGGTTAAATAACCTAATAAATGTTTCGTATTGAAAAACTTGAATAAGATAAGAAACTTTAGAAGTTTAAATAACCTAATAAATGTTTTGTATTGAAAAACTTGAATAAGATAAGAGTAGGTACTAATGAGACACTTGAGATTGCGTGTTCTGTACCAGTTGGTTGATTCTAGGTTCTGTTTTTGCCAGAGCTATCATCAGGTCGCTATCGACATCAAGACGAATTCGCTGTTTAGTTTTAATTAAAACTAGCGCAGAAAAGCCTGTCTCGCATAGTTGAAGAAAAAGGAACTATTCATAAAGCAAGAGAGGAAAGTATTGAATTAACAGGCAATCTTTTGATCCAAAATTACTCCAATGTTAAAAGATGGAAGTCATCTTTCATGGACGAATCAGCCTTCATTCCTAGAAATTCTTCTTGAACATCTTCTGGTAATTGGGACACATCGACAACAAATAGATTTCTTGTCATGTGTCATATTGATGACTCTGAATTGATGTCTCGATAGTATCGGCGAAATTCATCTTCCAGCGCTTGCAAATGAGTTTTTGTCAGCTATTAAATTTGCGTCCAGTATGTTATTTTTAATTGCTTCGAACAGCCGAGAAAAAGATATAACATTTTCAGAAGACACTTTTTGATTCCAAAGTTGAAGCTTTGATATGAACCCCTGAATATAATCATAATTGCTTATTATAGTGTTGTTCTGCCCTGAAGTTTCAAGTTTAGGTCATTCAAGGAATCAAATATGTCCGTTAAATAATCCAACCTCCATTGAAATTTGTTATCTTCGAACATTGTCAAGAAATCATGTTTTTCTTTGAACTCAAGAAAAAAAATTCTCTTCTTTCAATTCATAAAGGCGAGCCAACATGTTGCCTTTGGACAGCCGGCGTACTTCTGTAGGGAACAGAAGAATTTTTTGATCAGAATCGAGATCCTCCCAAAGTAAAGTAAATAACCGTCTGTTCAAAGTGCTGCTCTTGATGTAGTTTACAATCCTTATAGCCGAGTCCAAAGTCTGGCGTAATTTATGTGGCAATGTTTTGGAAGTAAAAGCTTGCCGATGAATAACACAATGTGTACTAACCATTGCGGGATTTTTTTCTAAGCTCGATCATACACCTATCATTGCAGGTGCACCATCTGTGCAAAGTCCTTTGAGTTTCTTCCAATTCAAATAATTTTTTTCAGCAAAATTTGATATTGAATTAAATATATCCTCAGATGTAGTACCTGCTGTAGGGAGTACAAAATCTCTTCTTGAATGATATCTCCGCAGATGTAACGACCATAAACGATTAATTGTACACAATTAACGATGTGAGTGGATTCATCGCAACTAATTACAAAAAATGACGATAATTATACTTTGTTAATTATTTGTGACTTTATGTCTGCTGCAGTGTCATCGATTCTACGCTTGACTGTGTTATTCGAGAGAGAAATAAACTTTATTTTTTGCTCTGCATCTTCTCCTAAAATTATCTGCGTGGCTCTTAGGACACATGGTTTTATTAATTCTTTACCGATAGTATGAGGTTTCTTTTGCTTTGCTATCATAAAAGCTATTTCGAATTAAGCTTTGAGATGCTGCGATACACCTGTGTGATAACTTCCCGATTTATCCAGCCTGATCCGCTTGAGTGATTCTGATTTAGAAGAAAAAAACTCTTTCGTCTTCAAAACTAGAGTAGGATGTTGTTGCTGCAAATGCCTTTCAAGACGATTGGGCCTCATGTTATCATTACTTAAAACTTTCATTCATATCACACACTGAGTCAATTGTAACTCGTCTTTTTCTATGAAGGTAAATCCAAACTTAACGTAATCTTCGAAAAACTTTCTTTATTTCGCTTCCATTTTGCACATATAACAATAAAACAAATAAGTAATAAATAAATACCCAAAATGCCTACATGTAATTTCTAATTATATGCTCATTATTTTATCTTAATAACGTAATGTATTCAACAGTATATTGGCCACTGGGAGATTTATATTTTTGTAGGCAGGTTGACGTTATAATAGTAATTTTAAATATATTTGGAATCAATATTAGAACGCGTCTCCACTCAATAAAAAATTTAGTGAATTAAATAAAAATGGTAACTGAAGTTTGAAAATATACAAACTTACCTTTTAACAGTGAGACGCAATAATTTGGCACACTCAAACAGATTTCTCAACAAAACATGTACATCGAAACGTCAAATTTTTCGCAAATTTGTGGGAATGAATGTCACAGATGCTCATTCGCGTCTGGTAGGTACACAATTGTTTTCTAAAGTGATGGATGTTAAGCGGAGCGCGGCGGGGGTGCGCTCGGATTTCATGTTGTGACTTGTCAATACTGCGGTTGACGACGCCGGGTTTTGAAACAGCGGTTGACAGAATAAGTGAATATGATATTTAATTTCTAATTTTATGCGTGTAAATTAATCATTACGTTGTAATGTCGTTTGTTAATGTTTATTTTTTTTTGTTTTTTCTTTATAAAATGCAAACGCTTTCCGCCCCCCTTGACATCTCTCTATGCCCTCCTCTGGAGGCGCACCCCCTGGTTGAGAACTCCTGCTCTAGACAGTGCTAACAATAAGCCGGTGAGTGCGGCCAATTCATAAAATGAAACCATATTAGCTGTGCTTATTGTTAGGCACCCATTTATATTCCAAATATTAATTAGTGTGAATCTATTTCTGAATATAATGTATCTAACTATTCATAAACTGCACAACTTGATTATCGGGTCTCTTTCTTTGATCACTTATTTTAGCACTACCACTTATCTAATTTAATTACGTTTATGACCAGACAGAAAATGACCTTAAAAACTAGTTGTTTAATGTTCTTTTAAAAATAGTATAATATTTGTAGGTTCTTTTTACTGAAAACTGTATAATTCCAAGTTTTGACATTGTCATACAAATAAAAAATACCACTTAAATAGCATCAAATAGGCTACTTTTTAAGATAATTTGCCGATTCTGTCTGGTACATTTATTTTTCACAATAGTTAGTCAAACTTTAGTAAAGGTTTTAACATTGAAACAAAACGTAATATTTTTTTAGCATACCGTGATTGCTTTCAATGAAACGAATAGTCTGTTGTCTCAACTATCATTGGTAACAAAGAAAAAAATCATACGTTAAAAGTTTTTTATAGCCGCAACAGGCAGAAAAGGAGCAAAAGGAGGGATTTTTTTGACAAAACTTCAAAGTGACAATATCTCGAAAACTAGCAAACTTTTACTAAGGTATGTTGATTTTATCTGATTGATGTGAAGTAAATCTACCTCCCATGTCAGTCTAGCGTTTTATTTCTGGGACACCCTGTATTCTGCTGTTATAATGTTTCCCCTCAACCGGTCATATGGGCAGATCCTGTTTGATGCTTGGGCCTCCATTAACACGTTTCGTGATATATCGGCTCTCAGGTGGCCTACTACAGTAAAGCGTGGTAATGTCATGTTCTTGTCATATTTCCCTGGCTTACAGATTAAGTTGAAAATCACAGCTCGCGTAGCAAAAACCTTTGGCTATAGGATCCAGGAGGGAGAAGTGATACGATTTATTCTTACAGTTTTGATAGCTTCAAAAAGACTCTTCTCCATCAATGCATCTCAGGCTACATTATCAGTGCACAGTGGAGATGAGGAAACTTACTGCCGTATCGGTTAGAGGATAAATTATAACACCCGAGTGTCATAAAATAACGATAAGAGTTTTTTGCTTATCACGTTGAATTGGAGCAGTAAAGTTCTGAAACGTTTGTTGTGACATTGCGTCACTCTATGTGACTTAGTGCAAGCAGTCTTTATTCGATCGCGATGCGACTTAAAGCATTGTTTAAAGGAAGGTTCATACTATATTCACCACAAAATCGTAAATAAAATAGATTTGTGCTGAAATAAACGATCAGAAGGGTGACCCGATAATTAAATTGCGCAGTTTACAAATTTTTAAAATGGTTGACAAGGTTATATAAATTGTTTCCTTAAGGACTCATCTGTGCAGATATTCTGAGCAAATAAACCTCCTTCGAAGGGGTTTTTAAAGGAACTTTAATTGCTTTTACTGAGAGTAGTACGAGGGTTGTCTGAAAAGTTTCCGACCTAACAAAGATACAAGACATTTTCTTCGGAATTTTTATTTTTCAACATCTAACTCTACACACTTCTCCCAGCGTTACTCCTATCTCTATAACCCGTCCAAATAGTATTCGGCGTTTTTCTCTGCAAAATAATGGTTCACGAAGGTGATTGCCTCTTCATTTGATGAAAATCTCTGATCTCCAAGCGCAATTTTCACATGAGAGAACAAAAAGAAGTCGCTTGGGGCTAGATCTGGTGAGTAAGGCAGATGGTCAAGCAGTTCAAACCGTAATTCGTGGATTTTCGCCATGGCAACCGCTGAGGTGTGAAACGGTAATCTGTCTTGGTGAAACAAGATTTTCTTTTTCTGCAAATGTGGCCGTCTTTCCACAAGTTCTGCCTTCAGCTTGTCAAGTAATGATGCGTACTAAAAGCAGTTTTTGCTTTTTTGAAGCCGGTTCCCACTTTGCAGTCCACTGTTTGGACTGCTTTTTTGTTTCGGGCGTATAATGGCGTATCCAAGTTTCATCTACAGTTATTAATTGGCGCCAAAACAAAAGCGTTGGAAATGTTCATTCGAACACGTTTTTGGTCCAACGCGCGGACAGCTTTCTCATGCCTAAATGTTGATTTAATATGTGACAAACACGTTCCTTCGACAAGTTCATAACCTCTGCTATCTCTCTCACTTTAATTCGACGGGCGTCCAGCATGATTTGGTGAACTTTGGCGATGTTTTCGTCGAAATTTCCCTGTGGTAAATGATGGTACAGATGCAGAATCAAACTCACCTTTGATTTGCGCAGGCGTATTGCCTTTCAAAAACAAATGTTTAATGACAGCCCGATATTCGATTTTGTCAATTTTCACAAAAGCCTCACATCAACTCACGCAAACGACTGTTACATAACCACTACGCATCCAAAATGGCAAGAGATTTGGTGAGTAACTGTCAACTGTCTTCACGTTGAGGTCGGAAATTATTCAGACCACCCTCGTATTTGTCCAAAGTATCCTGAAGATTTTATACTTATGTTGGCAGATTAATTGCTCTCAGTGGCACTTGCACACACACCAGTCAGTTTTCTAATCTCAATACCTTAGCTTCTAGCTGAAACAGTAACTTTTACTTTTACTTAGAATACAAAAATATATTTTTTAAGTGTTTTACCAGAGGCTGAATATCTATAGGTGGCATGTCACATTCTGTTTATTTTTTGTTTTAACATTGTATATAAGGTTGTGAGATGTGCTGTTTTTATATGACAAATAAAAGTTATACTTGGCTTTATAGTTTGCATACATATTGCATTTGCTATTTATTTTTTTATACTATATTTGTTATGACGTTTATCCATTATTTATTATTTCAGCCTGCAAAAGTAACTGCTCATTGGCACAAAGGAACAACATATATGGTGAAGTTTGATGATGCAGTCATGACGAGAGATAAACAAGTCGAATAGGTTAAATTAATAATTAATACTTTTTATATTTCTGTAGATTATATGAAATGGGTATGATTATTGAGAGCTATTGTATAATATATTACTTTCATATTTCAGTTCAATTGAAAGATTCTGTGCGTTTTCATTCAACGTCCAAATGGATTGAGTTGTATGTTTTCCAGCTTAGATTTTTATTGGATATTTTTCAGGGTCCTGTGTACAGCAAGAATATCGATATGTGCCAGTATGGAGAAGAGAGGGACGTGCTTAAAAAAATAAAATTTAAGAACTCTCACATTTTGGAGTATTTCATGAAAACCAGAGTGAAAGTCACGAGGTCCTTTATTTGTTTGCTTTTGAGTTTCTGAGTGAACAAAATCTTTACATTGCAAAGCAGCTCTCGACTGTATAATCTAAGAATTGGATTAATATACAAAAAATATTTAAAATTGCTAGCCATCTTGTGTATTAAAATAGAATATATGAAAATACTGTGTGCTCCCGGCTATGATCACGGTACCTCGAATGTAAATAGCAGGAATGTTATAGAACAGGATTACCGCCAGTTAATACCTCAGTAGTCACGGCCAAGTGTGACATTAACAAATTCAGACTATGCTCTATACTAACTAAACCTCTTACCATATCACGATCCTTGCTGTCGAGTTGAAGAGATGTGCAGCGGTGCCTGCTTCTGGTCTTTCACGTTCCATATTCAACCTTATCCAAAAATTTAACTAAAAGCAGATCCTGACTGTGTTTAATCTATAGCTCTAGTGATGCATAATCTGATCAACAGCTAGATTTACCCCCAGGATCACTGCTTGATTAGCGACAGACATGATGCTCCTCATCCGATCGGCGGCATTATGGGGGAGAGCTCTGAGGAGCACAGCCCGTTGGTGCAGCGGTAGAAGAGAGCTAGTTCACCGACGACCCGCCGGTTCGAAAGTGTCCCGAGACAGTCTGTTTCAGAAGAGTCACCGATAAGTCGGACAGCACTTCTCTGGACAGCGTCGAGCATGGATAACTTAGTTGGGCCAGCAGCACACCAAACGTGTGAGCAATTCTCGAGGCTATGTCTTATCTGGGACTTGTATACAGTGAGGAGGTCATGTGGACAAAAGTTCTTCTTAGCCCTAAACAAATAGTCTAACCTTTTCCCACCAGTCGCCGCTCATGACGAGATGTGCTCGGGCCAGATCAAGTACTCGGTGATCTGGACTTCGACCAACCGAAATGAACGGTTCTTTGGCAGAACTCTGCCATCCATCGAAACCGAATGAGCGCCAGGACGCTTTTTGTCGTCAAGGTATAGTAATGTGTTTTGGAAGCATTAAGTAATCAAGCCGTGACGTTCGAGGTAGTCCAGAAGCTGGCAATTTATGTACCTCTCCATCACCTTACTTATAACACAAAAGCAGAGCTATGAGCATATAGTTGTAAGGGTCGGTCTCAGATCCCTTTTTTGGGATGGGTTGGACAGGAGCAAATTTTCAATTTCTGGGAAGGTGCCCGATTCGTAAGATATCTGGAAGATTCGCGAAAGAATTGGAGTAAGCTCCGCTGCATACCTCTTCAATACAATGGCAGGAATCAAGTCCGGACCTGAACCTTTTATGATGTCGAGCGACAAGGGCACCCGTCTTACGATCTTATGCCTAAATGTTACTTCCGGCATAGTGTAGGGAACCATTTGAATTGACGACACCCGGGCGTTGGGAGGAGGGGAGGGGGAGGGGCGTCAATGTTGAAGTTGTCAGCAAAGATCTTGCCAAGCACTTCCGACTTGGCCTTTGAGTCTGTTACAATCGTCCCATCCTTGCACGTAAGTAGTGGAATAAAGTTGGGTTATTTAGTTAGAGCTAGATGGGTACTTTTTTATTTCTCATATTAGGCTTCTAAACGAGCAATATTTTTACTGCATTATTTAGCTGCAATAAAGTATCCAGAAATATCTGGCAATATTTTTAGTATGGCCCACCGGTTACATACGAAGGATGTCTTTTAAAGTTTTGCATATAGAAACATAGGGCGCGCGGATCGAACGTCAGTACTGAATCTTAACCTCACTCTTTAGTAAACTTAAATTCAAAGTTTCTCAACAATACGTGCAGTGTTCTCACTACAGTGAATTTTTAAGTGTCACCAAGTCATTAGAAAAATGGAACTCAACCGAGATTTTCACGCCATAATTTATTACAACTTTCAGAGACAATTATCGCAACAAGAATGCCTTACTGAGTTACTGTCTGTTTTCGGCAACGAAGCACCATATCAGTCGCCAATTTCCCGTTGGTATGGAGAATTCAAAGTCTTAGCGACGATCCCAGGGTGGGTGCACCAAAAACGGCAGTCGCCCAGGAAAACGTCGATGCTCTGCGCAAACTCATCATTGAAGATAGACATGTGACATATCCCGAGATTGAGGCGTCCTTGAAGATCTCAAAGACCTCAATTCAAGAAATTTTACATGAACCAGGAGTAAGAAAATTAGTTTCTCGTTGAACAGCAGAAAGCAGCCAGGGTTAATTGGTGTCAAAAAACGCTTGACCGTTTCAATTCCGGAAACTCAAAAAATGTGTACAGCATTGTTAGTGATGATGAATCGTGGATTTACTGTTATGAACCAGAAAATAAACGACAGTCGGCTGTTTGAGTGTTCCAAGGTGAAGAAAAGCCAACAAAAGTCATCCTTCTCGAAGTGTTTTGAAAAAGATGGTCGCGATATTTTTCAAAAGCGGGTCATATTGCAACAATTCCTCTTAATGAGCGAAGAACTGTTACTGCAGATTGGTATACCACCATTTGTTTGCCAAAAGTCATCACCGAGCTTCGAAAAATCAACCCCGAAAGAAGAATCATCCTCCACCAACACAATGCAAGCTCGCACGCAGCCCAAAAAACGGAAGAAAACGTGGAATTATTGGACCATCCTCCATATAGTCCCGGTCTAAGTTCTAACGACTTCTTTACTTTCCCGAAAATTAAAAACAGACTGCGTGGTCAAAGGTTCCAGTCACCAGAAGAAGCAGTTGACGCATTCAAAAATGCCGTTTTGGATCTGCCGGCAAACGAGTGGAATAAGTGCTTCGAAAATTGGTTCGAGCGCATGCAGATGTGTATTAATCTTCTTGGAGAATACTTAGAAAAAAAAAATAAAGTCATTTAAAACTACCTACCGTGTTGTTTTATTTCCATATGTAAAACTTAAAAGACATCCCTCGTATAAGCTAGCCATCTTTGACATCTGCGATATGTTCGTAAACTGCAGTCAGATTGCTGAATGATTAGATTCCTACTTGGTATTCTCCCGCGACGCGTGCAGCCATACTTGCCCGATTTTGCAGCACCTCTTATGACAGATTCTGTCAAGGATATGTGTCTACACATTGTCGTCTCGTCGTTTGTTATTTGAGCGGACCTTGGCTCTTGTCTGACAGAATAATGTTTCTCTCTTCAAAATCTTCCTGCGCCCAGCCAGGTGAGATTTCTTATTAAGTAGAGGGTAGAGGAATTCGGAAGATGGGAAGAAAAGGAGACAGGGGGATCAATTAACAAGAAGGAAAGTTATTTAATTTGTATTCCGAAAGGTGCTTAATTTGGTTAAAGAATCGCCAAAAATTTATAATTTGAAGTGCCAGACTTTTATGTTAAGATAGTGTTGCCGGAGTATAGTCCACTGCGCCACGCAACAAAGGGAGCTTGCGCTGTCAGAACGCTTCCTAGACGGTAACTTGATCTGCTCAAAGATCGTAGGTATTTGCAGATCTCTGTGAATGGTGTCGTTGGAGATGTACCATGGGACACATACTATAGTGCCGAGAATTTTGTTTTGTATGCGTAGGTCGAAGCAGGACGGACAATTGTAGGGTAAAGGCGTATGTAATTTACGTGATTTAATTTTGATTTTCGGTTCAGTAGCGGATACAAGTGTCGGAAAGTTATCAACGCATTTTTTCCCCATGGCACAGGAACATCATTAACAGAGGTGTCTTGGAGTCATTAATTATGATGCGCCACCGGAGGGTCCACTCATATACTTCATTCACGGCGGATTCCTGCAGTCTCTCACTCACCAGATCAGGCGAGTGTGAAGAGACTACCAGAGCCGTGTCATCCGCATAAAGAAGTACCTCGCAGTGGGTGGGACAAGGGATATCGTGAGTATATTGTAACAAGAATGAATGGTACTACTAGCGCTATCTGTTGGGAACCGCGCCAGGCATCGAAGCGAGGTGCCAGACTGACCCCGAGTGGTACTACTAGCGCCATCTGTTGGGAAGCGCGACAGTGACTTTCCTTCGGCATCGACGCGATGTGCGAGACTGATCCCGGAGGTTCTGGACTGGCTGCTGTGGCGTACTGGTACTTTCTCGAATTAACGAGTACCTGCGATGCGGAATATGTAAGCCGACGGCAGGGAGATGGAAGCAGTGTGGAGTGAATGGCGCGACAATAATTCGTAAATAAGTAGTCAGACATAAATAGTGGTGTACATAAATGTTCTATCTAGTTATGTTAAAGTTAGTTGCGTTGTGTTTTAAATAAATTAGTGCATTTCTTTTTGTGGAATCGAGTGCTTTAATCCACACCCAAAAGAACCAAGAAAAACGTTACAATATAAAGAATAAGCGATAGGCCCCAGGACCGAGCCCTGGGGAACGCCTGCACTGATAGGATGATACGTAGAGTACGTATCCTTAATTTTGATCCTGAACTTTCTTCCTTTCAAGAAGGATTTAAGCAGTTTTGACAGCTAAAAGGGAAATCCCTTATTGATCAATTTATAAAGCAGCCCTGTATGCCACACCTTATCGAAAGCCTTTGAAATATCCAAAGAGCTCTAGTATTTAGATTTTGAATGAATCCGCAGGTTCTGGTCTCCGCAAGTCTGATTGCCTGCTGCTCCGTACTGTGCTCGGCGCGAAATCAGAATTGTACGTCGTGAGTCTATACACATAGTAGACAATATTGCCAAGATATAACGGGGATCTGGCCGTGACAGAGAGGCGACAAATATGCTGCAGTTTGTTCATTATGCCTGGGTTATAATTGGCATAGTTATAACCAAGGTAGGCTTCGGACTGACCTCACAAATAACAAAAACTTATAAACCGATATAAAAGAGTAACCGTTTTTGAGATATTGAATTTTTTCTTAAATTTAATAAAAACGAACCTTTTCATCTGTGGTCTGCATGTACAAATAAGGTTATACTTTGTTGATTTTTTCTATAAAGTACTTCTAGATAGTTGCTTTATCATATACAAATGAAATGTAGTTAAAAGATATACCCGACCAAAAATAATTCTTTTGTATTGTTACTGACTCGAGTCCGAATTTCAGTAATCATATCAGGAGCAGGTGATAATAATGTAGCTTTGTACTATTTAGCATGTCACTGATCGGTAACCAGTGCAACTTGAATTTAAATCCAATAATTTCATTGTAGTGTGTGTCAGTCACAAAAGCAGCTATCACTTTTTCCTATTCCAAATAGTACGTGTGGTGCCTTTCTGAAATCTGTATTCAATGAGCAATCTTTTTATTCAATATAATGCAATTATAGCCCAGTACATTTTTGTTTCACCACAGATGTTCAAAGTTGAGGAAAAAATATGAGGTTATAAATCCCAAAATAGTCCCTATTTGATCATGGTTCCTTAATATCTTTTCATTACATTACATTTGTATATGATAAAGCAACTATCTAGAAGTATTTTATAGAAAAAATAAACAAAGTATAACCTTATGTGTACATGTAGCTAAGGACCACAGACGAAAAGGTTAGTTTTTTAAATTTAAGAAAAAATTCAATATCTCAAAAATGGTTACACTTTTATATAGGCAAGTTTTTGTTATTTGGATGGTCAATCCAAAGCCTACCTTCTCCTTAAGTGTGTCGTGGTACTTATTGGACACCCTGTATACATCGAGCGACGGTCGGTGATCTGGCTTTCCGCTCCTGTGGACATAAAAACGGACTTTGCTTCTCTGAACTCGCCTCTATATATTATTGCTGCGTTCTACGTATATTTCATTCTCAGTCAACCATGAAGGATAAACTTATAAAATTGACAAGCTCGTTTACTTAAAAAATGGGATTGACAACATATCTGTAACTTCTTTACAGCTGTTGCATAGTTTCAACTGCTATTGTCTGAAACCATATCATCTTTCAATGCTGATGTCAAAACATTCATTGAAATTTTGAATTAAATGACAGCCCGAGCACTGGAGGTGCACTTGGAAGGGTAGTTGAAAGCTTCTAGAAAGGAAACTTAATTTAAAACACCGGTCAGCACTAGTGACTCCTGATGGTAACAATAATAACAACTGCTTCAAGTTATTGCTGACTGTGTCAGGTAGCAGGAGTGATGTCATAAAAGCTGGAGGTGCGTTTTCGTGGGTGAAAATTTAACTGTTGACTTAAAAGAACATTTCCTTCAAATGAAATGTTTTGATGTATTTCTTACTTCCCAATGTAATTGGTATTGTAATCGCGAAATATTTCGAAAATGCGGGATTACGTATCTTGGATATTATACGAGGCCAGTTCAATAAGTACCCGTGTTAAAAATGAAGACACCATTTTTTCCAAAAAAATCCTTTTTTAAAAAATTGCCATTTTCTCTTAACCCCCCTCCCCCCCCCAAAAAATAGGTTTTGACGAACTCTCCAAAATACGCCTCTGTCTCGGCGATGACTTCCTCGCTTGAGCTAAATTTTTTCCCCGTGAGCCATTTCTTCATGTCAGGGAACAAGAAAAAGCCGCAGGGGGCCAGATCGGGTGAATGCGGCACACTTCACATAACTCAATTCACAACAGTACCTTCTTTTTCGACAAATGTGGCCGTGTCTCCTTCAATTTTTTGGCCGATGGGACCGTCTTCGCCTTCTTTGGAGCGGATTCACCGGGAGAAATCTATTGTTTTGATTGTTGCTTAGTTTCTGGTGTGTAATGATGAATCCAGGTTTCATCGACGGTGACAACTTGACGCAAGAACTCCTTCGGATTTCGCTTAAATTGCCGTTTGTTGTCCACCGTGAGCAATCGCGGCACCCATCGGGCAGACAATTTTTTCATAGCCAACTTTATCATGTAAAATATTGATTGCCGTTTCGGTCGACACACCTACGGCCTGTGTTACTTCGCGCACTTTCGTTCGTCGATCAGCGAGAATCATGTCGTGGACTTTTTGAATGATTTCCTCGATAACCACGTCTGCCGAGCGTCCGGAGGTTCGTCCACGTTTAAATTTGTTGAACTAATATCTAACTGTGGTCATGGATGCGAAGTGTTCCCATAAACAGCATCAAACTTTGCTTTTATCTCCTCGCATTTTTTCCCATCCAAACACAAAACGCAAATTACCGAACGATACTGCTTTTTCCATCTTAGCGAAAATCACGAAACACATGTTACTCGAATGGCTGCCAAATCCAAACTAACCTACCAATCAGACTGGAATTTGTTGTGCCGTCGTTTGATAGATGTCAGCATACGATGATAGCATTAACTTCCCTCAGGAACGCCCTCTGTCGTGAAACACGCGTACTTATTAAACCGCCCTCGTATGAGATGTACCTCACGAAAAGCATGTCACACATTGACTGCCTGTCACTCTGTCCCAAAATCTTTTACACTTCTGTAACTTGGAAAGTACTGCTCAGACTTTGATGCTTTGACACAAGTTTCTAGATATGCCAAGGATAATTTTTGGAAATCGAAACAGCGGCAGTGGAGCCACGGACATAAAATGAAAAAAAAATCTCTCAAACTTCGTTTTCTGATTCCAGCTCCTTTTTAGAGAATGATTCGAAACTAGGTGGTGGAGTGTTGGCAGAGGCTGGGGTAGGGTATGTCACAGTTTTTTTGTGTTCATATAGTTATACGCTTCTAACCCCGCTAATCATACGCACCCATTCAAACACACATTTCCCCGTATTTTTGCCCTTACAACTTTGAATAAACCTGTAGCATAGGTAAACGCTGATGTTGGCGGCTTAATCATTGCAATTCTGGTCGCAACGTTGTCATTGATTGTCAAATAGATGGGGTCTATCGACTATTTGAGTGGCTGGATTGCTTTGTTGAACATGTTCGTAGTTACCTTTTTTTGAAAGTGACTTTGTGCCTAACAAAATATATTAGGAATACAGCGTTAT